GGTCATTTCCAAGCGCTGTTCGTGTGCCTGTCAGAGTGTAAGGGGGGGGGGGGCGGGTAGATTTGGGTTAATGAGTAAGGCGAGTGCATCTTTTCTGGGTCGGGTTGCGAAAAGGCAGCGCCGTAGAGTTGCAGTTTTGCTGGATACTTGGGATTACTCCATTGCCATTTGGGGGGTGTTTATTGCTATTCGGGGGCATGCTTTTCCCTTTCTTAACTGCTCTACTACATTGACCAGGAACCTCCGAACGACAATGCTTTGTCAACGGTTCGTAAGATGGCTCGGGAGGGGGGTAAGTCATCCCAACTTTACAGTGAATTGACTCTCGTAACTCTTTCTGACCGACTTCTCCATCACTCTGTGTGACTTTGCAGCCTGTCTCGGTTGATGAATCGTGGTATGGACGGGAATTCCGAAAGGACAAGAGGGATGAAAGTCCCACTACGGGAACCATCCCATCTTCTGCCACGAGATCGTGCAACCGTGGTACGTCTACGGGTGTGAGAAAGAACGATTGATTCGTACAACCTCGTGTTCGTCTTGCGCAAACAGTCGACTCTGTCATCTATCTGTAAACTGCTTTGCATCCGTATATTGCTAACACTTGCCATTCACGTTTTCACTCTGCCTCGGTGCGCGCGGGTGGGGTTGTTCGGTGTTTCTTCATAGAAAATATTCATTTACCGATAGGGATCGATGACGCTCGCCATTTGAGTCAGATATCGCGGGTCCGTAATAACTAGGCTGATTACCACTCATTATCTCGATGGTACGTGTAAACCTGTCAAATCTGCCACTGCAATCCTGCATCTTGCAGGGAGGCATCCAAGGAGAGGGGGGAAGGGGTACTTTTCCCGCTAACTTGATGCCATGAGGAATCAAGAAAACTAGCTAGATGCTGGGAAAATGGGGATCTTCTAACGACGGGACCAGGAACGGAGGTTCGTCTCGGATGTAGTGTAGTGTGAAGCAGTAGTGCCGTTTGCTAGTGCCGTTCAGAGGGTGACAATTTGCGATTTTCGCGATTTATTCATCGGGATAGCCCCCTTCTCGGCCTGGTTCATCCTAGACAAATCGCCGCAAATCAATCTCATCAAGCTAAAGTTTCCTACTGCCGCTACTACCTTCCCACGCGTGACTAACACTAGCTTCGATTGCTATGTAAACTATCTCTCGATATCAAAGCAGCGTGCGTACGCAATCGCTCACTGGGTCCTCCGAACTACGTAAGTTAGGGGTTGGTTACCATGGTTGACGTTGGAGGTGAAATGTCTTGGCAATTTCTCTCCTTCGCCCTGGTGCCGGGGTCAACAATGTTTGGGTCCGACACTGCGGCGAAAGAAGAGGATGCGCCCCCCCCCCCCCCTCTTGGCACTTTTCTCTTCCCCCGGAACCACCCCAGCGCATTACAACCGCGGCTTAAGTTTCGAGCGCGTACGCGATGGGACGGACGGCTTGAACTTTGTTCCCCATATCCCATCTTCACCCTGCGCCCTAGGGCTCTTCGTCATGAAGATGAGCGCAAAAAGTGAACCCCCTCCCCCTCGAGCCAAAGAAGCCTTACCGTCCGCGTCGCCTTGCCCTACCATGCGGTCCATGCCACCGCACCCCCTTCAACCCTTGAGCGTCTTGTATTCCTTCCTGCTCGCCCGGTGCCCTGGCCCTGATTCTGCCCTGCTGCCCAGTCTACTCTACGTAAATAATCTCCGATGGGGCGACGGGGTCCTTACTAGCACCTGGGACATCTCAGCTGGGCTGTGAAGGGGGGAGGGTGTGCAGAATGGCAGTGGTCTTTGGGTGGTTTTGATGCATTCACATGGTGGGCGTGTTCGTACGGTATGGGACTACACCGGATCCACACGTTCACTCCCCCGTTCTGAACGGGGAAGAGGGGGGTCGGTGGGCGGAGGGAGGCATGTTCATTGTCAGATGCGGACGGATTTGTTGTTTGGTTATGGATGTTATGGCCGCAGCGGACGTCGTCATCATGCAAAACTTTTGATGTGGGTTTGAAATAGGAGAGAGATAGAGACTCGGTGTTGGAGATTGGTGGCGCCTAGCATTCCAGCCCTAACGGGTGACGTGGGAGAGACCAAGGCCGTAGGGTCCGGATCCGATTATAGTCAGGCTAGACCCATCATATGAGCGTTTAGTGTTGATTCTAGGCTCTCCTTTTTGCGGGGTGAGTGGGAAGAGGTATTTGGTCTAGAAGGTTGCGATGCGTGTGTGGAACTCCGGCACTTGTTTCCTTGTGTTCTTTTGATGTTGGGACTTTGGAATGATCTGACAGCCTGACAGTCTGGACTAGCGCGTAGGAGGGAACTTATTCTACGACGTCCCTTATTCAGTGTGGCTTGGGTTGAGATCATTGGCGAAGTGATTCGGCTTACTCGATGGTGGGGCCGCGCAAGATACGTGATGCAAGGAAGAAGCGGAATTCCGAGATGTTTCGGGGGTTGCTGACTGTGAAGAATCCCATGTGGACAGCAAGTCTGGTCTGTGGACTGTAGACCAGAGACGAAAATGAGGTATTGTAAGTGAGGCTTGGCGATTGCGAGTAGACGTATGGGAGAAGCTCTTTCGACTCGATCTGACCATGAGTTTAGTCAAGTTGCTCAAGGTTGCATCCCCGGGCCTGATGTAAGCGTCGCAGAATGCTGACGATGATGACGGTTCCTGAATGTCAGGGTGACGGCGTCACGTTTCCTTGATCTGGCTTCTCTGTCGGGGGTGGTGCTCAGTCAGCCCCCCTCTTCCCGAATGTTGCGTGACGCGGTCCGGCGGGCTGTGTAGTTGGTGATGATCATCGCGGATCTCGACTTCACGTGGTTGATCGTGCTTCCTTGCGGCACAGGGCTGGCTACATGCGTCGGAGACTAGTGCTTGATGGACTGTCGGTAGGTGGGATGGGAGGGTAGGGTGAGTTTGATGCGGCGGGATACTCTCAGGCGTTTTTCTTCTGTGGGTGTAAAGGTTTGTTGGCTCAGCTGTCAAATGTTGAGATGAGCCGTATGCTGTCCAATCCAGAGACGCGCATCTAGGCTAGCATCATGTCAGATTCTGGTACCCGAAAGATGTTTCCGCATCTTCATCCTCCTCCGCGCCGATCCCTGGTGATCCCCATGTTGCTGACGAAGTGCCCTAGAATGTCTCTTCGGTATGTCGTATGGCGTTGGATGGCTTGCGGAAGTCCTCACACTAAATCGAGCCTCGTTCCTCGTTGTCGACTCATCTTCGAAAGGTCCGATATCGGGAGTTTTGTCGTCGGGGGCACACTCTGATGCCCAGACGCTGGGTCGTCGGTCCGTAGGTGCCTTCTACCAGCCCAACTTGACCTACTGTCAACGATGGAGGAGCTGGCCATCATTGCTCTGACAGCCTGTTGGAATCTCTCAAGTCCCATGACAAACCACGGCCTTAGCATAAGATTCATCTCCAAAGCCCGCTGACCAAGTTCGAAGGCGTGTTGTATCTCGTCCCGGGTATCCGACAAGACAGATCCATGGGCGGTGGTGGCGTCGGGATCATCAAAGGCGAATCTCCCCCGTGTCTACTCTGCCGGGACGGAAGGGGGGCGGAGTAGTCCGTTGTTATTGTCGTCGCAAGGAGACGGTAGAACTCCGCATCAAGGCGCACTCGGGGGCCGTTGGCCGAGATAGTCGCCGAAACCGACGCCGAAACCGAGCCCGAGGGTTGGGGAAGATTCACAACCGTCCGCTGCCCCTCCTAACTCAGCCTTGCTTCCAACCGCATGAAGTCGGCGGGCCTCAAATGAGGTTCCCGTCAGATACACGCGGCGAATCGGTGCTCGTGGAAGAGAACTAGGCTTAGCCTTCTTGGTGCCACTCGCGGGAGGCGGAGGGCGTTGAATGGTTCGAACACGGGGTTAAGGTCTCGTCGAGGACGTCAGAGGTTGACGACGGAATGCTTGCCGGATCCAGGTTGATGAGGATCGCGCGATACTTTAGGGCTGCAGGCTGATTGAAGTACCGGAAGCCGGGGGCGATGTGATGCTTTAGCTGAGAAGCTTAGCCTCTTCGTTGTTTTGAACCACATCCGCGGTCCAATGGAGACCTACTGGTAGAGGGGAGTTATCGGACTTTGAAGGTATATCGATACTTCCGGAGAATAACATTAAAGGTAGACGGGGGTCTTGTCGATCCACGTGAATACGTGGAAGTGGATTTGAAACTTGGCGGCTATGATTGGCTCTCTATATACGTACGGCGTATTGATGCTTGGCTTACATAGCCGTGATCTCTAATGTAAGCTTCTTACGGCCATTGGCTTGGCTGTAATGTCGTAGACGGGAACAGGATGTTTCAGACGGATGTTGACGTGCAACGTGGTTGACCGCTTGAATGGACTCTCTAAATGGGTGGTGTCATGGTATTTCTGTTGAGAATTCGTAGGTCGTTTCCAAACTCCGCGTATTCGAATATCATTGTGTTGGGTGTTGTGCGCTGTTATAGGCCGCCATGACGTATCATAAAGCTGTCTCCGCGTATAGGCTGGCTCGGCAACGCCTGAGCGGCATGCGTTTCACTGGGAATAGATGCGCCTATGCCTGTAACCACCCACCACCTCCGCAAAGACAACCATGCGAAATGGTCATCATACGATCTCTGATTGGCCGTCAATATTTCTCGTGGAGTTGTAGATGGGGGGAGTTTGGAGCGATACCGAAATGTTCAGACGGGACGATCTGCGGACATCGACATATTGGCATGATTCTGAATCAGGGGCGAATGGGTGGAAACAACATAGCCCCGGTGAGAGTCGAGTGCTGGCAGCTATGATGTATGGTCGCCTCTGGATAAAACGGAAACGAATATAGGGGGCGGGAGTGACTATGTGCAATAAGCTCTGGACATTGTTGAATATAAATACGAGACTGTGAGAAGGGTTCGTCGGAAGAAAATTGGCAACAGACAGCAATCATCTCATCTTTCATTCGTTTCCTGGCTCCTCAACTTGACACTGATCTCCAATAACTCAAAATGAAGCAGTCTTTCACCTTCCTTGCTGCGGCTTTTGGTGTGGCCTCAGCCAATCCTCACCTGGCTGCTGCTCACTTGGCCAACCCTCACTTCCGTAGAGCTTCTCCTACTGAGTGGACTCCTGCTGGACCTAATGACTGTAAGTACACCGCGTATCTCAACCACACCTACTCTTCAAGTACTGATAATGTAGTCCGTGGCCCATGCCCCATGATGAACACTTTGGCCAACCACGGCTTCATCTCCCACGATGGCAAGAACCTGACGAAGGACGTTGTTGTCAAAGGCCTTCAGGATGGTCTCAACTTCGGGACCGACCTTGGAACCCTGATGTTTAACATGGCCCTTATTGCCAACCCAGAACCCAATGCCACATTCTTCACCCTGTGAGAACCTGCCCCTGGATGGTAATCCTTGGCGGAACGCATCACTAATCCAACATGTCTCAGGGACCAACTTAATGTTCATAATGTTCTGGAACACGATGCTAGTCTGAGGTCAGTTTAAGATCTGTCCGTCTAAAGGAGGATATCGCCTCGACTCATCCAGGCCTCGGTTCTTCCTGTTTGAGCTACTGAGCGACGGGTACATATAGACTTGGATTACACTAACATCTTGTCCATAGTCGCACCGATGCCGCCTTTGGTAACAATCATGTGTTCAACCAATCCATCTTTGACGAGTCGAGAGCCTACTGGACAAAGGATACCCTCGATGCGCAACAGCTTGCCAACAGCAAATTGGCACGACAAGTCACCTCAAGAGCTTTCAACCCCAACTACACCTTCACGGCAACTGTGGAGAACTTCAGTCTCGGCGAGGTTGCTGCCCCAATTATTGTCTTTGGCGATATGGCCGCCGGAACCGTCAACAAGACACTGGTCGAATACTTCTTCCGTAAGAGACACATCAAGCATAACTCCTTGGGACAACTGTAGACTAATATGTGGTGTGCAGAAAACGAGCGCCTTCCTGCTGAGTTGGGCTGGGTTAAGAAGGAGAACGCCGTTACCCAAGAGGACATCCTCAAGGTGGTCGAGATGATTAGAAACGCAACTGTGCTTACCACCGGTGGCGCGGCTGAGGCCCCTCACAAGCGTATGATTAGGGACTTGCACACTGGCTTGGGCCTGCTGTCCCAGTGAGGCATTTGACTTTGCACTGATTAGTACATGTAGCTATATGTACCCCAGTGCCCCTTTCTCTTCACATATTATTTATCATAAGGGATTTGACACACTAGCATTGCTCTTCCTCAAAGATATATTCAAAGAAACACCACCAAGTATCGCCGGATTTTCTAGATGTGCTGCGGTCCACAGCCGCCCGGTCAATTACGTGAGCTTTTGGACGGAGATCTTTATTATAGGCCATAGGCTCATAGACTTTGCCGCACCGAAAGTCATGTGTCAAGTGCGGGCACAACGGCTATCATCCTAGTCACGGAATGCCAAAAATATCCGTATCGAAATCGAAATAAGTGTCTAACACTCCTTCTGTAAAATTGAGCAAAATTCGCATGTGGCCACCTGTTAGTGATTTTGATATTAGCATTGATAGCATTTAATATCTTCTTATTGATACCTTATTCTGAAGACTTGGCAGGCGCAATGAGGAGTGTTAAGTAGGGAAGTCATCGAATCGTCGTTACTTTGCGCGAACCCCAGCTTTTGACCCACAACCTTAACATGGGATAACCGCGAGAGATTCCACTCTGAGAAGAACGCTCTAGCGCGCCGATGACGATGTGCTCTAGTTGACTAGTGCTGGGCTCCCATTGGTGGATTTCACCAAGGTTCATGTGAGGTAACAGTCTTTCGGTTTTTGATATGACGAGGTGCAGCGTTCAATTAAAAACATGGGGACCGGACAACCGGAGTAGCTGTTCATAGGTCGGTAGATATGAACAACAACACCGCATTGCGCGGGGTACCCGGGGTGGTTGTTGATATATATCTAGAGACTCAACCGTTCGGCCGTTCCTGGGCTGAACAAACTTTGTAGTAAGACGTGAGCTAAGACACACAATTCCTGATTACATACTGTTCTTGGCGCAGCTAAAAATATGAAGTCTGTTTTAGCATTGACCTGGGGGTTTCTCCTTGGTAGTGCAGTCGTAATGTCGACGGAGGTCAATCGCGATGGATCCCCCGATGCCCATAGAGTTGTGAAGAGGTAAGAAAATCGGAGAATACGTTGGTAACTGATTCGCTCTGACATATTCTGTAGACTCAAAACATCGCAAATCACATACTTCCCAGCAGAGAATTCGACTGGTACCGGAGTTCTGGTTTGTCCCGGAGGCGGATATGCCCGCGTTTCCATATCGAAGGAGGGCTACATTCCTGCGGGGTTCCTGAACAAGCTCGGCATCGATGCTTGGGTCCTTGACTACACTACTATTTCAAACGCAACTGCACCGCTCTACCCGACACCCCAAAACGAGGCACTAGACGCCCTCGAGTACATTAGAGAGCAGAACCGCACCACCAAGCTCGGCATTTGGGGCTTCTCGGCAGGCGGTCATCTCTCTGCTGTAACACTCACCAACCCGGAGGCCGACCTTGATTTTGGTATCCTAGCGTACCCTGTCATCACCCTCGAGGGGAACTACACGCACAAAGGCTCGCGAGACAATCTCATTGGCGCCAACGCGAGCGTGGAGTTGCAGCACGAGCTGTCGGCGCAGAATCGTGTCTCCGCGACCACCCCGCCAACCTTTCTGTTCCATACTTTCAGTGACACTACTGTTCCTGTGCAGAACACGCTCATGTTTGCCGAGGCCATGGCAGTCTACAAGCGGCCAACGCAAGTGCTCATCATTCCGGAGGGAGGACATGGGCTGGGTTTAGCCCTCGATGATCCTAAGCGCAGCTGGACACCCGAATTGGCGCGGTTTTTGCAATATTCGATATAAGTTGTAGGGCCTAGCCTTGTATTAGAAAACTTCACTATCGCCGAGAATTGTGGTTGATTTCTTATCACGGTAATACAAAGATTCCGAGCAATAACATATGACGCACCCAACGTTAAGTGCTATTCATTCTAATGTCAGTGGCTCGTCATTTACTCCGAGATTTGGCCAAAAGGCTCTTCAGTGACGACATAGAATCATTCATCATGTTTGAAATTGCAGTTACTAACCGTTGTGTCCGAACTCGCTCCGAACCGTTCATGCAATGATTCGAGAGTTTATGAGTAAGCAGCATTGCACCACGCACTGAGCAAGGAACGTCCCTTGAACTCTGACAGCCAAATGACACGGTTTCTAGAATTGCCCAACGCTTCTGCAATGACATGCAGGCGTACCCTGGAGATTTCGCAATAGGGGTCGGCAACTGAGACGAAAAAATTTCCGTCAATGACTCTCGGTGATGGTGATGGCATTTCCGCTCCGGAGATGGTGGAATTCTCTCATTCTCACTCCTGTAAGCGTTGATTTTCTTCCTCACCACACTCGTTGTCACAACGTTCGTCAATTAGTTGCGATATAATAGAAGGCATTGCTATAGAACGCTTATGTTTATACTTGTTCCATGCTTGGCTTTTAGTCCTTGAGTTCAAGATGGCCCACTCACGTAAGTCAACTCCAACTGCGCAATTCTCACCGCGCCCATCGGCATCGTCGGAACGTGGTTGACCTTCAGACTAGATTTTCCCGCCACGGCCAATGAAAAGGTACCGGCACTCTTCGGATGTCCATGCGTATGGAGCCATGTGCCACTCTACGGCGATGCCCAAGAAAAGCGCCGATATCACCATGCGCTGGCCAAGCCAAATGCCCCTGGCATCGCACGACGACTACCCTCTGAGATCATTCTCTGCATCGTGGATGCGCTGTTCGACTTGTACGCCAAGGAGGTTTCTCTAGGTTATGAAAAGTACTGGGAGTCATCTTGTCTACCTTATGAGACCGACAAGATGTGCCCCTTCTGCATGCTCCCTCGTTTCGACGTTTGGCGAGACGTTGCAAATTTGGCAGCTTCATGCCGCGCACTCTACGAACTAATCACGCCTGTGCTCTATCGGAGGGACGCAGAACAAAATCATTCTTCAGCTCTGCTCATCTCAGCAAAAAGGGGCAACCTCCGGGCCCTGAAGTTGGCGTTGGAAAACGGCGCAAACGCAGATGCGGACGATCACACAATGCCGTTGCAATGGACGAACGAATGTTTCCGGTATTGTGAGCATTGCGAGTACCAGGTTTGGTGGAGGGAGCCACGGAGGCTCGACATGGGTGCACTGCACTGGGCGGCATTGTGCGGAAGAGAGGATGTACTTGAAATATTGTTGAACCACAATGCCGGCGTGGGCCTGAACAAGAGGGCAGTAGTACAGCCGGGATTGGATGCAGGGAACTACGGCTCGCTGCCGTACGTCGAGGACTATTGCGACGAATACAACGCCAGCTTTCCCTGCCTGGCGCTGCAGACGACTATGGGCTACAACCCTGTGAGCTCTCGCGGAGCCAACGCCTTATACTTCCTGCTAGGAACAGGCAGAATGCGAGCGCACGAAAAGACAGTGGATATGACGAAGCTTCTCGTTAACGCAGGCTCTTCGTTGATGACGCACGAAGCCGCCGAGCTTCATGCTCTCCATCAAGCAGCTGCATACGACAACGCCGAGCTGGTGGAATTCCTCCTAAACGAAAACAAGGTCGACCCCAATACCATGGATGCTGCCGGAAACACGCCATTACACCATCACGTCGACTCAAGGTTCAGGGTCGAGGGAGGCGCAAAGGACACAAAGACTTTATCACTTCTCCTCAAGTACGGAGCGGATCCTAACTTGCGAAATGTTGATGGGTTATCGCCGTTAGACATTTGCCTCGTCACGACATTGCTGGGCGCTGATAGAATGAAACTCTCCGTGCTACTTGCTCAGAACGGAGGAACGCTACGGGATCGAGACTTGGGCCTTCATAGGTCAAGGCTGACTGATGAGCAACGAGCAGCACTGAATTTTGCATTTGAGAAAGCTAGACATTCCGGTAGAACTGAGTGGGCCGGAAACATTTGAAGAAGTACGAAGATACAGAGGACGTTTGGGGTTTTGCGTTCAATGACGAATCATTTAACGTATTTGTAAACATAAGCAGTTACACGTGGTTCTGATTATTTATTTAGTTATTCTGCCTTTGCTGATCGCTCGGGCGGTTCTCGATATCGTTTACACAGTATTAATGGATACTCCCACTGTGTGGTTCTGATTATTTAACACCGAATTCGAGTAGTTCAACTCTAGTTTCTGTTTCGTGCAGAGTTCTTTGACTGATTGTAACGTGATCCCAACTTTCCCCCAAAGCTCTAGCGGCCATTGAACTGGAAAGTCGTTGCCAGTGAGAGCTTCTTCAACCAGTATCGCTCGACGTAATAGTGATTGTTGTTGGACCGCCCATCTTATCAGAGTTCAGATGACAGAACTCAACGGCCGGCTGCAAAAGACGGATCTACCTCCTTCGTCCACCTGCCATTGTTTGCCCCCGCAGTTGGCAACTACATAGACTGATTTAGTCTGAAGTTCAGACGGAATCCAGGACACTCGCTTTCGTCGTTAGTATTATTTGATGAAGAAAGCCTGTCAAGTGATACCCTTGTTTGCCATCATATGAGTGGGTCGTAGCAAAGTCCGAGACTCGTGGCTTATCTTCCTAAGCTCTTCGGCTCGGAACAATCAGCGACGATCCCAGCACAGCCTGCAAGCTTGACAGCAACAATTATATTGGAGTGGGCAGACAACGTTCAGTTTCGGTCCTTACTTTAAGAGTCGTAGGGAAGAAACAAGCTTCCTGTCCTTCAGTAAAGAGATGAGACCGCGAAATACCAGCCCCAGTTTGACCAACTTTGGGTGACTTTTGGGTCATCGGTAGACGCCGACACGTGGAACCCCCACCTCCAAGTACCGGTTCGGCGTTCGCCCACAATCCAGCAAACCTAGGAGCTTCAGACCCGAGCCCACATATTCAATTCTGACAGGAGAGACTTCCAATGTCATTGGTCTCTTGGCTCCGTATTGTTTCCGTCGCCTGAGTTGTTCATCGGATCTACACATCGGTGTTGACATTGGGCCGACCCACGTCACAAACATGAATCGCTGCCCCTTTTCTTGGCGTGGAGTTCAATCCTTTCGCACGCCGGAATGCGTGGTTTTCTTTTGATGGAGTCTTTGACATTTCTTTTTGGTTGAATGATAGGCGGATGCTAGACATTCGAGGACGCGTCTTCCGGAGACTAGTCAAAGTGAGTGGTGATGGCCTGGTGTTGTCCATGCCATTCGTTGTTCGGATCTTTCATACCTGTCTTGCCTGATGCTCGCAGTCTACTCATCTTTCTCACACGACGGAACAAGCGGACAATTTCCGAATAGGGCGGTAGACAAGCTCGCAGTCTCGGATTCTGTAGCGTCCCCGGCATGCCACAGACATGCCCACCGAGCCCGGCGCCTGGATCCGGCCACGAACGGGGCTGTGGACATGGCTCGTCGTAAGCTTTGCACCACTTTTTACCTGTTTCCCCATGCCGAATGACTTCCTGAGCCGGAGAAACACCGATAGAATATGGCGAGAGTTAACGTGGCAGTCGATATAAGACCTGGGTCTTGGCAGCTGTTGTTTATATATAACTAGAATCAAATTCTGGCTAGGTTACAGCTACCAGTCTGTTGCTAGTAGTCGCCTAAGTCATTCTTTCGTCCCTGAGACAATCTTTTGTAGAACCGAGGACTTGCATCTTTCAACACACCCGAGTCACTCTTCCCGGTCTACTTTTTGGGTGGGACAGCACCTTCTGTAAAGATGTACCGCCCATCAGCCGCCTGGGCTCTGGCTATACTCACTTTTGTGACGGGCACCTTGGCCGAAGATGCGTCGGCCAACTATACAGAACAGCTCCTGAGCTCCGGCACGGGTATGCCTCTTTCATCTACTTCTCTTTCTTGAAGACGAGCAGACGCTTACCAACATGCCAATAGTCAAGCTCGGAACTTGGCAAGATGCCTATGACAAAGCATCAGCGCTTGTGTCCTCGCTCACAACCGAAGAGAAGATCTCCATCGTTGCCGGTGGTGATGGCGGTAACTGGACCGCTTTGCACAACCTTGACTCTGCTACTAATCCTCTCACCTACTTCTACGTGACGACATGGCCCGCTGGTTTGGCGATGGCTATGACCTGGGATACAGCAGCCGCAGAGGGTCAGGGCCATGGAGTTGGTCAAGAGTTCAAGGGGAAGGGCATCAACATGGCGTACGGACCTACACTGGAACCTCTTGGACGCTCAGCTTGGGGCGGTCGTTCGGGTGAGACGTACGGCGTTGACAGCTATCAGGCTGGAATTATGGCCGGAGCAGTCGTGAAGGGAATGTCGTCTGCTGGTGTGGCAGCCAGTGCCAAGCACTTTATCCTCAACGAGCAAGAGACCAACCGCATGAGCACAGGATCTGGGGGCGGCGGCATGGGAGGAGGCGGATCTCCTCCTGGTGGGTCGACTAACTCAACTTTGACGGCTCGCCAGGCATTATCAACAAACACTACAACGAATGGCACGACATCCTCCGACGACCCTGGTTCTTACACTGTTACTATTGGCGACAAGGCTTTCCACGAGACCTACCTGTGGCCCTTTTACGACACCGTCTACAATGGTATGGGTGGCGCCATGTGTGCCATGAACAAGGTCAACGGGACATACTCATGTGAGAGCCAGGACCTACTCGCCAAGTACCTCAAGGTTGAGCTCGGATTCCCCGGTATTGTGTCTGCCGATGTCAGCGCGCAGAAGACGGGAATCAATGCCGCAAATGCAGGCATGGATCTCGCCTCGAGCAGTTACTGGTCAAACGAGACTTTGGGTGTTGGTCTGACGAACGGAAGCTTTACCTCCGAAAGACTCGACGATATGGTGATTCGTAACATGATGGGTTACTTCCACTTGGGGCAAGATGACGGGTATCCCAGCCTAGCAGGCGTAACGGACCACATTGACAACCGCGGCAACCACAGCGCCATGGCGAGACAATATGCTGCTGAGTCTATTGCTCTGCTCAAGAACACCAACGGTGCGCTCCCGCTGGTCAACAAGACGAGCATCAGCATCTTTGGATTCCATGCTGGCCCCCGATATGTGGGTGCAAACACCGCCCTTGGCGTCTACGACGGCGAGCCTTCGACAATGCAAGGCCACATGGCTGTGGTCGGAGGATCTGCCATGGGTTCGCTGGCATATCTTTCCACGCCGCTTCAGCTCTTCAATGAGCGTGCCGCCAAGGATGGCTTTATGCTTCGATGGTGGCTCAATGATACCTCTGAGACGTCTTTCAGTGGCATGCAAGGCTCCGGCACCGAGCTCACCGAGTCCACCACTGGTGTGGCCGAGGACTCGGATGCGTGCATCGTATTCCTCAATGCCTGGGGCGGCGAGGGCGCCGACCGCACGGAATTGACCAATGCTGACCAAGACAAACTCGTGAACACCGTCGCTGACGTCTGCAACAACACCATTGTGGTGATCAATACTGTTGGCCCCCGCTTGGTTGACGCGTGGGTTGAGCATGAGAATGTCACTGGTGTGCTGTACGCTGGAGCACTGGGCCAAGAATCCGGCAACGCAATTGACGACGTTCTCTTCGGCGTAGTCAACCCTTCTGGTAGACTCGTCCACACTATTGCTAAGAATGAGAGCGACTACAACCCGGACACGATGATTAGTGAGACGGAGCTGAACTTAGATTATTCGGATGGCAACTATATCGACTACAAGTACTTTGACCAATACAACATCACGCCTCGGTACGAGTATGGATACGGCTTGTCTTACACTACTTTCGAATACTCTTCCGATATCAAGGTTGAAGCCTTCTCAAAGCTTACAAGTGGATTCGCGATGGGAGACAAGGCAGTCGGTGGCCGTGAGGACCTCTGGGACATTGTGGCAACTGTCTCTACCAGCATCACCAACAGTGGTTTTCTGCAAGGCGCCGAAGTAGCCCAGATGTACATCTCCTTCCCCGAAGCAGCCGGGGAGCCAGTCAGGCAGTTACGTGGCTTCCAGAAGGTTGTGGTCCGTCCTGGAGAGAAAGCTGACATAGCTTTTCATCTGAGACGGAGAGATCTGAGTGTTTGGGATGTTGTCGGACAAGAGTGGAAGGTTGAAAGTGGAGAGTACACGATTTATGTTGGCTCTAGCAGCAGGAACTTCAAGGCTCAGGCTACCTTAAGAGTTGACTGAACAGGTGGAAGGTGTTTTTCACGTAGTTCTCATGCAAATATCTATATCTCGTATTCACGACGGCAGTGTCTAGAGCTCAATCTCAGTAAATACGGTCAGCTGGGTAATTATCCGTATCTTAGGTCTCTAGGTCCCACAATGACTCAAAATTTTGACAAGGTATATATTCTTGAAACCTCGTACTACCTGCCTGCGCATTCTGATATGGCCTTGCGGCATACTTGTCTCTGCTTGGCATTAAGGCTTTAGCCGTTGATGCGGTGACTGACTCACTAATTGCCGTTGTTGGCCAAGGTGTCCACTTGAATACCATTGAACTCAATGTGTGTCAGTTGATTAACAAGCTTCGACCTCAAATAACAGAGAGTCAGTTGAATTGGTTAACGTCAGGTTTCAGCTCGCATGCTGCAGTAGTTCAGGAAGACAAAGCCATTCTGGTTCTACCTCAGAAGTGCAATTGCAGCATCAATTTTCATCAATGAACTATGCAGTTCTACCCTCATTTGCACAGCTCTAATGCCACGGATTTATTAATTGCTTTCTTGATATCACATCCTTGAGCTAGAGAGACAAAGTTGTTTTCCAGCTTGAAATGATCATTAGTATCTCAACTCACGTGATTGACCGAATTAGGAGCTCAAAGGTGCACGTTGTGAAGGATTTCGTGTTCCGTATACAGCTTGCTACTGCATGAGAGGAAAAGATTCTGCTTGCCGCATCTCAAATCCGTTATCCAGACGCCCCAAAGCTGGGTTTGCTACTGCTATAATTCCCATCATACGTTGCAAGGCAACGTGCTCACCTCATCTACGCACATCGCTTTGACAAAGCGCGTGGCTTCAAGGAGACTGAGAATAGACTCTTGGAACAATGACTAAAGAGTGATATCAAGCGTTGGCTAAAGATTCAAGGTGTGACAAGTTAATCTTGATTGGCTTGCGCCGTCATATCCCCAGCTTGACGCCTCATCACCATTGTGTCACAATCACATCAATTGAGCGAGTCCTGAGCTGTCACAAATCAGCTGTCAGCATCCATGATGCCTGTGCCTCTACAAAAAAAGCCACATACAGATAGCTTGAGTCTTGTGATCTGCATTCCCCAAATCTTGATACTTGCTCGAGTATCTTGCTAGGCTGCACAAGTTTATGGCTAACTGACAAGCCGGGCGATGAATAGAGTTCTCACGTAAGACATCCCCTCCATTGACCACGCAATCTTGGTTCTCCTCCTGTGAGGTACATGGTAGGCTATGCACCCCAAAAAAACGACACCATCGCCAGTGTTTCATGCCCAGTCACAAGCACTTCTATATGCCATGCCGCGTAATGAATCCATTCTTATCATGAAACAACCGGGTTCTCATGTCAGCAAAGTCACGGCGAGGGAAAGCCATCAGAATCCCTCTGCCGTCTTGGCTTGCAGAATATGTGACGACAGATCAAAGGAGGGGAAATAGGTGTGCAAGCCTATCTGCTCTCCTAGACCCGACGCCATCGTGCTGACAAGCTGACAAGATGCGGAATCCAGAATCGACGGAACTGCATCGGAACCGTGTCATCCACTCTGATTAACCCATAGCCCTAACCCACACCAATGCCGGTCTCTGATCCCCGGTATCAAGCGCAGCTGAAGTTTCCCCTTTGCCTACCTGTAGTGTCGAGATTATCCTGGCTAAGATTGTGAGGTACTTGAATGGATTCCGAGCGCCAAGTCCGAGGCATCCAATGAGTCACGGTGACTTGTAAGCAGAGATGCTCGCTAAAGCGGGCGTCTGGATCCCAGCAATCTCGGACGGCATCACACAAAAGTGGCGTAATTGTTTGAGAGTTTGCTTCTCGAATAATGTAATATCAGGATAAACCATCGTCAGATTTTATGATTTTCATGAAGAACTCCGCCATAGGGGCTGTTGCTCTCAAATTTACAAAAGTCAACCATGTGGTGAAGTCTAAGGCGGTGAAGACCTCAAGTTACTATCAGTCATGTGACGTTTGACGAAAGTGAAATATCTGATAATTATGACGTTCTGACCATTTATATTCCGCGGAGACTGAGCATCACAGAACCAACGACAACAACGAGCTCGGTGAAGATATCAGATCTCCCAGCCCACTGGCAAACAACCTATAGTATGTACCTCCAGCAAAACCATCCAGTATTTTCCAAGATCTCTCTCACAGCTATAATAGGCCAGCCTGTAAATCCGAAATTCCGGCAGGCAAAATGATCAGCATATACTCCCGCATGACAGTGACCGCTAGAGTTCATTCGTACCTCCCGTGCCTCTTGCCCCCTCGTTTCTTTTCCGCCCCCTGTCTTCCTCACAATCCCCCATTGTGATGCTGTGTGGCACTTACACCCCTCCATGCTATGCACCATGCACTCTACCTCGACACCGAGGCGCGAGATTCTCAACTGTAGACACACCTATGGCGTGAAGGATTGCGTTTGGCTCACCCCTCCCTCATCCAGCTGCAATCTTCGTCGATGCCATGTAAGAGCTATAATCTGTTGCGCAACTTCTATCTCAGCTGGGTACGGGAAGTGGACAGGATGGCATATAGCTTAGAAGGGAAAGAGTGTGAGCCTCACACCAACTCTAGTTCACCCCCCTGCAACGGACAAGACTCCTTCTCCTGTAGGTCTGCATCGCCTAGGGGTGTTGTGTGGAGGTTTCGTAAGTAAACTTTGGTGTCACAGGAAAGCCTACCTCCATGCTTGAGAAGCCACCGGTGATCGACTCGTCAAAGTCTTGTAAACCTTGGCAGGTGTTGAGGGTGTGAGTCTGGCTCAGAAGTCAGGAACTGGGATTCCTTGAGGCGCCACTCAAGCTCCCACACAACCACGATCTAGGCTTCTTCGGTAACAGAGCTAAGAAGGCAACAAAAGCCACGCGAGGCTTCCAACAAACTAAGGGCCATGTCATTATGCCTAGACCACCACACAGCCATAAGGCTGGCGCCGTCCAAGGTAGCTAGCCTGACTAGTCTATGTATCAGCGTCAAGTGCCGCCCGCAACCCCGGTGGTTGAGCTCGGCTGATTGTGTCCGACTGAGGCTCAGAGCCTGGCTGGCAGGGGCTCCCAAAGTCCCATCAAGCCTTTGCTGACCGCTCACCCAGGGCAGATTTTGGATCATTGACCAGTTAAGTAGCGATTTGAGTCATGAGGGACGAAAGGCTTGAAGCTTGGCGCGGGGCATATCGTGCTTCTGACATGATATTGATTAGTCCAGGGCCGTTGAATATGCCTACCTGAGTTGCCTCGAGTACGGATCAGTCAACTGAGCATCATAGAATCGCCCGATAGAGGCATAACACCGGCCCTGTCGGTGTAGCTGTGTATCTCCGCAGCATGGCCTGTTTGCTGCCCTGTGGCTAGGCTCTGGGCCCGGGAGCTCAAAACAGGAGGCTTTCTGCGACCATGCAGTTAACATACTTACGGTGCCTACATGCACGTTGGAGAATCCCACCTCTCTCGTCGCCGGCAGCACGAGTACCTAGGTAGTATGAGCCCACACCCCTTGCCCCTTGCCGATGTCAGCGTGCTTATGCATGTCTGTGGCGGCCGCCCGAGGCAGCAAGCACTAGACGGCGTTGGTTTGAACGGGCTTTGGGCCCTCCCCGTTTCGTATTGCCCGAAAAAGCAAATTGCCCTGGTCCTGGATATGCTCTTCCACGGCACTTACCGTTGCCATGGCCTTGCAAATTGCAGGGATCCATTTCTCCATGCCCCGAAGAATTACGGAGAGATGACTGAAACCTCATAAGCAGGTTGTAGGTTGGAAAATACCCGTAATATGGGGGGCTGGAGTAGGTAGTGTAAGCCACGCCCAGCTTGAGAGTCAGAATTGGCCTCGTAGGAGCCTCATCACACCCTTTAGTATTCATGAACTGTTAATTCGTCTGTTGATTATGAGCTAAGCTGCTGCTTCTCGAATCATGAAGAAGTAAGTTGAAGAGGGATTTAGCAGACGTATTAACGCGCTAGTTGCGTTATGCACCAAATGTTCGGGAGAGACTTCTAAAACAGGAACTCTTCGCAGCAGTGCTCACCAAGGCGTGTCGATTGATCGCCATCCGATTGTCATCGGGTAGCACGCGGATCCAGCAGTCCGTGTCAGCCCTAACCTTCTCTTGGACGAAGACGCATGCCGCCTACCGCAAGGTGTCGTGGATGTTTCTTTGGCCTTGAGGACCACCACGAGCGTCTCAGCAGCACACAATCCCAATCTCCCAGTAGTGTCTCGGGAAGATACCACCATCAAACACCATTTCCTGCAGGTTGGGGCGGCCTGTGCCATCCTCGCTTGCTGCTTCATGGAACTTCAGCTGTCTACTTCACGCCACTCAAGTGCCTTGTCAGGCCTAGTGCTGACATGCGTCATGGCTTACGCTGCCGGGCAAACTTTGCGTATGTCTTCTCTCCTCGGGCTTCGAACGAATCAGGACGGATAGAGATTCGCAGTATGCACTCCATTGAGATGGCCAAGAGGATATCAGCGGAGGAAATATGATCAATTTGTGCTGTTGGCAGCATAGAGGGTTCCATCGCCGCGGGGCGGCATCTTCGGCCTTTAGTCGTCCGCGTGATCCTATCGCCGGCTTCCATCGTCGACCCAACAGCAAGGGCCCAAACAACATAAATTTACCCAATCGACCCCAGTTATGAATCCATCAAGCATTGAGGTTAGCGGGGTAAACCAAATTCTCGTAGGTTTTCTCCTTCGGAAGTCTCTAGTCCTTCGGCAAACACCCGCTACGATCATCCGCACCAGATCGAAGCCCCGGATCTCTCGAGTAATCCTTGGCTTGGCCAGTGAGAAGTTGCCAGGTCTCCTAGTCACACGCCCATGATCGCCGACAAGGATACTGACGGAACTGTCCTCACGGCAGCTTGTGGTTCATCAGCGACCCGCCAGCCCACCAAGGCCACTGCAGTCGTCTTACCTGCATATAGGGAAACCAAAGTCGCGCCATAAGAGACGTAAATGAGCCAATAACGAGCCATATTTTGGACAATGATGTCCTGTTTCCCAGTGGAATGCAACCTCGAAGCGTTGTCCGCACGAGAAAGGATGACAGCCGGCACCGTCTCCAGATAGAGAAGGCTAATGCAGCAGGACTAATTGGGACACAAATTGCTTTAGAATCCCTGTCCTAGTCATGGTTACCATCTTGACTTGGGGGTATATACAGGAGGGCAGGTATATGAGGGCAGGTTGGTCCAGGTGCTGGCATGGAGAATCATGTGCTCTGAGTGGGCTGACGGTCGTGATATGGCTGCGGAACCGGCGATTGTGCTTGTACTGCGGTCCCGTCTTTCGGGCTTCGGTGGTGAATATCTCTCAACTACCCGGCATGCCTTTCGGAACTGATGGAAATAGGTTTGGTTGCTGAAGACGTTCCCGGTTTCTCTTTGCAATCTCCATTTGTCGCTTCTTTTCAACTCGGGCTCCGAAGAAGTTCCTAAGCCGTGTTAGTCGAAGCCAATTTGGTACATATAGCAGGCCAAAAGAGTTCATACTTCTGAAGTGCGAACACGCGTGGCTCCTCTTCCGCGGCCGGAGATGGCGTTGCGGTGCCGTCCTTGAAGCTTGTTAGCCGATGGCTTAGGAAACCAGTCATCTGAAGGACCCAAGAAGCAATAAGCGGGATATCAAAGAGCTTGCCTTGGCACTGTCCTCCTTCTCATCCTCTGTCTTTTTGTCGTCTTTGTCTTTCTCTTTCTCTTTCTCCTTGTCTTTGTCTTTCTCCTTTTCCTTCTCTTCTTTTTCCTTCTTCTTCTTCTGTTTGTCCTCGTACTCCTTCTTCACACGCGCAACCTCGTCCTCGAGAGCCTTCTTCTTCTTCGCTTCGATGGCCTCTTTGTCGATGATAGGGGAGCAGAAGTTCTTGTCTTTCAGATGGCTGGGGCAAACGTAGAAAAAGTCCTATAGCTAGAGTTAGCTGCGCATGGTAGAGAAGAAATCATGGTTTTTACCTTGTTCTCGGGAGCGACCAGGACGCTACTTGTAGCACGGTAGCAGACATCGCAGCCCTTGGCCGCCGTTTCCGCGACCTTGCGGTGGGTGTAGATGTTGGAGAATGACATGATATCGCTCAGCAGTGTATAATCTTTTTTGGAAAGATTAGAGTGCTGTCGAAGGCTCGGTAGTCAAGGCCTACCCCAAGGGCGGAATTGGCGTTGGCAAGACTCGAGGTTGGAGGAGTAAAGTCCGTGATGTTGCCTGACCTCCAAGGAAAGGAAGCTGTGGGGCACCCAGCGGTGCATTACCTAATGTGCTGTTCGGCTGGTGACAGACTGGTGGAAACCGCGGGGTCAAGATGCGCGCCAAATCAGTGCCATTGCATTTGGGGCCTTGGGCGCATCCTCCACTGTGACGTCGCAGCTTTCAGGGGCAGCGAGGGGAATTCATGTCCTCCAAGGATGGTCCAAGCTCCCTTAGCTCACGATAAGGAGAAAGATAAGACAAGGCTGACCTCGCAACTGTATTTTTATTTTAATTCTTTTTTCACTGCGACTTGACTTCCAATGATCAAATACCTATGTTATTACGAATGATGAACGACCTCTCCTACTCCGTAGGATCAACTTGCTTTTCTCGGGCTTCTTTGGAATGAGCTTCAGACCTATAAGCAGCTGGCGAAGTAAGGATATCGGAAAGAACAATAGTGATGTAGGGTTCTTGGGCAACTATTAGTTGTGGTAATTGGGAGCGAGTTCTGAGTTGGTCGGAAGCGTGGATCCGGCAACGAGAAACGCCCCTCATTCATTGAAAAGTGTAGATGTTGGAGTTATTGGGAAGACCAAACACATGTCGAATCTTTAGGGTACCTTGATTCACAGGGCTCGAGGTAATTGACATTTAGGGCCGTGAATGCCGAGCATTGTCATCGCTTTGTCTTCTTGGAACCTTGAAGACTTGAAAGAATCAGTGGCCCCTCGCAGAAAAAAGGGGCGCTGCCCGCCCCGAGTGTTCGCCGTACAAATCTGCTGTAAGCCTGTAACCGCCGCATTATGTAAGTCCATGCCGCAGTGCACCAGGACCAGCCGCTTCAGCAACCAGCGGCCAGCTTCAACACGTCACATCCCATAATTTTTATCGACGTCGCGTCGGGAGAGAAAAAAACAATCCGGAAATTTCACTACATTCAAAGGGACGCTTTTTTCCAACCAGACTTTTCGAATCAGCCGCCATCTCGTTAATTTCATCGAACCCATCATCAAGAAGACACCGAATTTCTGGGGCAATAAATAAATATTTCACAAATAATGGTTGCCGGTCTCGACAGCCAGCGGCTGGAAGCCGTCTTCCAGTCGCGACCCGATATTTTGCAGGGCATTCAAAAGGCAGCCAGTATGAACATCTGTTTCAATCGCGTAGTTTTCTTCTCTTGAATTCTCAAATGCTAATTGTCGACTACTCAGACACACCCGATCGAGTCGCATTGTTCAACAACATCGCGAGTTTCGTTCACGAGCAAATCAACGGACCCGAACCGGCATCAAAACGCAGACGGACAGACGAAGGTCCTACGAACGGTTTCAAGGCGTCCAACACAAACGGAGTGGCTGCAAAGCCTGCACCGAAAGTCATAGGAACCGGAAACGCTGCCGATGAAGAGGTTCTCCTTGTGATTAAGGAGATTTCCGTCTCTGTGCCCCAGCGCAAGAAGTACGAGCTCTGCTTCACGGCGAACTTCTTTTACGCGCGGTTACCGAATACCACTGCACCCGTCGAGGGCATCATCTACGCCTGGGATGACATTGGTGTGTCTCCAATCGCACAGGAACCTAACGTCCCAGCCAAGCTAACTTGCGCTTCAGAATACCTCTTCTGCCTCCCCGTACCCGAGAAGACCCAGGTGCAGCATAATTACGTCCTGTTTCCCCGTGGGACATGTCTCCCGACGAAAACCTCACCCGAGAAGGAAGCTCTGGTATTCACAGTGCCTGCCACAGCCCCCAAGCCCGGCACCATCGATGGCCCGAAAGCAAACGCTGCATCAGCAGTCTCCGACACCTACCGTGGCCTCTTTGATTGGGCGTTGACGACACACCTCAGCTCCGCTGGCAATCCTGCCGAAATCGTCGCAGCCGACCCCAACATATTCCACAGTCTCGTCCGCCAGCCGCACAGGCCGAATGAGAAGGCGGTGCACGTCAAGGCCTTCCGCGGCTCCAAAGACGGATACCTCTTCTTCCTTCCCAATGGCATTCTCTACGGCTTCAAAAAGCCTCTCGTCTTTCTGCCCATCGACCGTATCGTGGCCATGAGCTACACAAGCGTCCTACAGCGCACATTCAACATCGTAGTAGAGGTGTTCACCGAGGGTGACGCCACCGAGGAGATTGAATTCGGCATGTTGGACCAGGAAGACTACGGCGGCATCGACGAGTCCTATGTCAAGCGCCACGGACTACAGGATCGCAGTATGGCTGAACAGAGGAAGGCGAAGATGGAGCTGACTGAGAACCTCAAGAAGAAGGGCGCGGACGCGGACGCTGACGCTAATGGAGATGCGGATGCAAATGGTATGACAGAGCTCGAAAAGGCCCATCTTGAGGCTGAGCAGGCGCTCCAGGAGGATGAAGATGAAGACGAAGAGGACTACGACCCTGGCAGCGAGGGAGAGAGCGAGGGCTCTGGGTCGAGCGACGATGATGATGACGACGATGATGACGATGAAGATGACGATGCTGGGGAAGAAGGTGAAGATGGCGACGAGGAGATGGGTGAAGGTGAAGGTGAAGGTGAGGGAGAGAATTGATAAGCTAGGAGTCATGTGCTTCCAGGGTGAGGCTGTTGCAGGATCTCGCTTTTACGGCTCATGGTCATGATAGAGGTGTAAGATAGAGACGTCGGTCGTTGAATCGACTCGAGAGCAGAGGCGTCCTCATGCCGGACACCCGAGGGTTCAGGATGAATCCACGTATAACAATGCAACAACAGCGGAATCCACACCCGTCTCTCCATCGCTGCACTTTCACTGGATTGTCAGTAACAAACACGAGGAAGAGAAACCGTATTCTCCAATTTCTTACGAAGACACAGAAGCTCTACAGGTCCCGACTCAGCACATACGGAACGCTAAACCATCCCATGTCAACTGAACTGTCAGCCCTCCTAATAGACATCCAGAACGGTCGATTTAAGCTGAAAGCTGCCCCGTTACCTTTCACCCGATATTCCAAAGATGTGTATACGGCAGGATCCGAAGAGTGTAGACGCAGGCACCGAACCTTACTTTACTTGTCTTACGAATGTGCATAGTTCAGGAAACTTTTCTGAAGCTTACATTCAGGCCCAAAATCCCTCTAATGAGCAGGTTCTGATCAATGAAGGCTCAATCTGGAGCATGGTAATGGCGACACTGAGTCCATAGAGATATAAAAGCAAGCACTCGGTGCTTGGCTTCTCGTTTGTATGAGCTCTGCCTCCTCCTTTTCTGCACATATTTATACCGCTTCGTTGCTCACCATAATGAAGGCTACAACTATTCACCTAGTGTTGTTCCTGACCTCGGCGGCAGCCATCGTCATTCCCACCAAGACAGCCGTGGCTGCATCCTCTGCTCAGACTCCCACATCTTTCAACATCACCAACGTTCCGCCGCCTACAGGGGGTGATCAAGGCCATGACCAAGATACTGATGAGGGCAACCTCGCGCCCTGGGAACAATCGTTCTGTTCTATGAAACACCATCACAAAGCAAAGTCATCACATCATAAGATGGAGCATCCCGCCCATCTGGGGGGGAAAGACACCAAAGGCAAGCAGACGCCAGCTTGGCAGCGCTGCAAGAAACATCTCGACAAGCATCTGCCGCCCGAGAGAATGGAGTCAGTCAGAAGCTTGGCAGGGACAAATGGGACGCGCGCATCCTCGGCGGAAGGTCATGAAGGGCATAAGGAACATGAGGGTCATAAGTATCACAGAGGTCATGGGGAGTGCTTCAAGAAGTGCGTCGGCTTCAAGCTACCCTTCATCTCGAAGCTGATACCCGAGGGCATGATGGAGCCTGTCTGTGAGGGCATCTGCGGGTGCAAGGGCTCTGAGCAATGTAAGGGTCAAGACTCGGGAGGCGAGGAGAAGCCGAAGGAGGAAAACCCTCCTGTTCCGTATGAGGGCATGAACGAGATGAACGGATTGGCCGAATGGATTGCAAAGGAAAAAGGGATCGAGCCGGCCGAGAATGAAGAAAACGCTCCGCTCAGATCCGTGGGAGATGTCTCAACGGCACATGTATGAAGAAGTACGCTACGGGCTGCTTGGTTCAAAATTGCGCGGCTCGAAGCCGTGCTCAGGACTGAAGGTTGAGGTTTGAGGAAGTGAAATTAAAGCCTAGCTCTCATGGGAATACATCCGTACGATTTGAAAGGTCTGGTGTTATATATAAAAAGACATGAAGAAAAGGAGTGGGCTGGAATGGAAACTTCATGTACAGGAATCTGATATCAATCTAATATAGTATGGAATCGAACCCAGAGACCAGTGCGGCTAGTGTATCGCAAACATGTTAAATAAGGCTCGGATTGTATGTAACAGAACTTGAAGAGGAATCCGTCCTGCCGTATTCGTCACATTCTTTCCGTAGTTGGAACTTGTGAGGTTCGTCGCCGATATCCAATGGTACACACGTTATCGATCATAAGGCGTATCAATCATCGTGACAGTCAATCGTTTCTGCTAGCGCAACCTAATATTGGTGACCAATCAGCCACGTGCGCAACAGACCAATACCTGTGGCTCAAGCATGTAATTCAAGCTTGACTCACAGACATGTGAGATTGAAGAGCCAAGCAAGCCAGGACGAAGGAATACAAAGGAGCCCAAGGGAGATTGCGAGGCTTTGTGATTGGTCCTCAATCCAGGCGTGGCTGACTATCTCTCCTCGTCAGCGCTAGAGAGCTTCCCGCTGGCAGGTCCAAGCAATCATCGGACGAGTACATGAGTACAAACGAAAGACGGAGAAGGTCAAGAACTACGCAGTCCGCGGGCGAAAGCTCCAAACTTTCTTTCTATCGGGCACAATCGAAAACTTACGGGTCTTCTCAAAAACTGTTCCGTCCAGCTCATCTCAACAACGCGCAATGATGGGCGAATCTACGACAAAAGATACAGCAGACACCACGCCTACATATGATTGCGTGGTGATCGGTGCCGGATACTCCGGCCTCGCGGCTGCACGACTCCTGAGGGATGCTGGAAAGAAGGTCCTTGTTCTCGAGGCGCGCGATCGCGTTGGTGGACGCGCAAAGACAATACCGCTCGACAATGGCGACTACTGGGATGTCGGGGCATCTTTCCTCGGTCACAAGCAAGATCTCATGTACGGGCTGGCAAAGGAGTTCGACGTGCCACTATTCAAACCACCCAGCCAGGGCAAAATTGTCCTAGCGTATCGAGGCAAAGCACGAAGCTATGGGGGCCTGATTCCGCCAATGAAGCCGTGGGAAGTTCTGGATACTGGACTGTTCGTCCGCCGGTTCGAGAAATTATGTGAGACGGTCAATATGGAGGAGCCATGGCAGACACCCAACGCGGAGGAGCTCGACCGCGTAACGGTGCATGAGTGGTTGAAGAAGCAGGCGTGGACGCAGGCCACCATTGATCTAGGCAACATGGCATTCGAAGCAACGATCGGGCAGAACACGTCTTGCATCTCAATGCTTCACGCCATGTTCTTCTTCAAAGGCGTGGTCAGTCTCACGTCAGGCCTGAGCTGCGAAAATGGAGCTCAGCAACATTTCATTCAGGGGGGAGGGCAGGCTATTGCCGAAAAGCTGAGAGAAACCCTGGGAGACGGAGGCATTCGCTTTGAAGAACCGGTTTGCGGCATCACTTACACTGAGAGTCTTGCCACCATCCGGACGTCGAAAGGAACATACCGCTCACAACGAATCATCTCCGCTATCCCGCCACCGCATATTCTCAAGATCGACTTCGAGCCAAGGTTACCGATAGAAAAGACGACACTACTCCAGCACATGCCGATGGGAGCTTACATGAAAGTATACGCAACCTACAAGACCCCCTTTTGGAGGGAACGAGGCCTGACGGGAGAGAGCACGAACCCGACCGGCTTCCTCAGCGTGACCTACGACGCGACGTCGCAGTCCGGGTGTCCAGCCAAGCTCACGGGCTTCATCGTCGGCACCAAGGCGCGAGAGTTTGTTAGCTTCAGCAAGGACCAGAAGCGGGCTGTCGCCCTCGCCGGCTTTGCGTCCGCGTTCGGTCCGGAGGCGCTCGACCCGGAAGAGTTCTTCTTTCACACCATGATGGAAGAGGAGTGGGCTCTCGGGTGCCCGATGGCGACGCCGGCGCCGGGGATGTGGACGCTGTTGGGGGAGTGGGTTCGGAAACCGGTTGGGGCTATTCATTGGGCTGGCACGGAGACCTCGACGAAGCATTATGGGTACATGGAGGGAGCGGTGTCCGCGGGTCAGAGGGCTGCAAGAGAGGTTTTAGAGGAGCTCAAATGGAAGATTTGAAGTTGGTGGTCAGAAGATGGAACTTTGGTTTCGGTAGATGGCCTGATGGAATTGGACTCTTGTCTAAGAAGGTAGTATCAGGATCACTGGCGTTGGATTTGACGCATGTGTTCATGGGCATCGCTGTACTGAATTAGTCTAGCATACCCCTAATTGAGACCAATGTTGATTGGAACCTCTACTCTATCAAAACCAAAGGTTGGAAGTCTGTGTAAATGCAAGAACTCAAAGGTCTTTAAAGAGACAAGGTCACACAGCCGTCGATGCTGTCCTCCTCAAAGATCGAACCAAAAATGATGCCCTCGTTGATTCCAGACTCGTGGAAACCAGACTTGGTCAAGTCACCGGTGCCGTTGATCGACTTCTTCAAGACGCCAAAGTGGAATTGTCCCTGTCCCGAGATGTCGTTCTCGATGGGCTGGCCCTGAGCGACGAGGGGGGCATTTCCTTGGGAGTAGTACACCTGGGTCAAGCTGCGATATCAATGTCAGTAAAGCCGGCCACAGTCCCACAAGCAAGATGAAGCACTCACTTCTTGCCGAAGTCCAAAGTCAGGGCAAAGTTGTGGAAGACGCCCTCAGTGAACTTGGTCTTGAAGAGCTCCGGCGAAGGGTTGGTGTTGGAGTTGCCAAATAGGTGGAGAACATCCGGGTCCGCCGGGTGAATGCCGATGAGATCGCCGTACTTGAGCGCGAATTGGTTCGAGCTAAATATAGAGCTCTCCAAGAAAACCATCTGGTATTCGTGGGTCAAGTTAAGCGGCTTCTTAGGGTCCTTCATCATGCTCCAGTGGACCGTCTTAATGCCGGACGTGGAAGGATCGGTGCCGTTGTTGCTCATGGGCAGCATCTCTGCGCGGCGGAAGCCCGTTTGCACGTTGGTCTCGGTGGGCGCGAAGATGGATCTGTCATCAATATTGACTTGGAAAGGCTTGTTCGCCGGGCCGTCGAGCTACGGAAAATCGGTCAAATGCTGTCAGAAAAACAATGCCGATATGTAGCTTACCAGCGACGACAGGCCTGTCGGAATGGAGACAACATCACTGGCCTTCAACCCCTTACCGAAAACAAAGCCATTATTGAATGGACTCGCAGAGGTATCAAAAGAGGCGGGCGTGAAGTTGGTAGGGATTCTGCCATCGAACTGGATAGGACACTTTGCGGCATCGACGGCACCAGCCGCGAGCACAAGAAGAGCGCCAAGAGAAGTGGAAGAGTAGTACATGGTGAATGAAGCGAGTGTTGCAACAGCACTTATGCAGAAATGAATGTAAATGACTAAAAGTCTCGAACGAGTGAGAAAAGAATTTACGGCAGGTGATTTAGATAATGCCCAGATACTAGAGTCATAAAGTGCAATCGCAGCCGCATGCGATTCTATAAGTATTGGGGTGTTTAGTATCCCACCGGCCTACGATATTGCGTAGAGAGCTTCTTCCTTCGTCAATTGGTCAGTACAACAAGCCCATGGCCATGTTGGTATGGGTTAAAGAGAGATACGGGGGTTGCTGAGTGCCTCGGTAGAGAGGAGGGTGCTTCATCTGGCTCGGTCTCGCTCTAGGACGAAGTTTCCGCCATTGGTGTTACGGAACTGGCGGAGAATAAGGCGGGAGAAGAGCCTCAGCACACTCAGTTACGAGTCGGTAGTTGCCGGTGGGATGGGTTTCCAATTTGTCTGAGACGCAATTAGAGTTTGCCTCATTCCCGAAGCTTTGGGAACTCCGCCGATCTTGAATCGTGTAAGGGGCAGGATGGAGACAGTTCATCCGTTGTCGGGCAGCCAATTTGTCGGATGGTCTGAATATCGGAGTCAACGGCCGGAGTAATTTGAGGATTCCTTACTTAAAAACTGCGTCGCGTCGACTGAAGTGTACGGTTTTACGCTGAATTTCAAGGCAAGTTACAAGGACTCAAGGCTTAGTCTTCGTGATGGAGCTTCTCACTGCACATTAGAGCCATCTTGCACTGCTCTGACATTGTCAAGTGTCGATGACAGTGAACAGTGATGTTTCTTTGTTGTAAGTAGTGATGTATTTGCTGAAATGGCACATATTTGCCTCTTTGTGTCACAACGTAATGACTTGAAATATGTACATTGACTGCAGCATGACTGGCATATCGTTTGTGCTACAAAAAGCTTCATCATGTCATGGTAGCCAAATTATCGTAGCTTGCTTTGAACAGACATGCCTTTTCCACCGCGTCGCTATCCCCTAGGCGAATTGGCAACCCAACTGCTGCGGTGTTGCCGTGACACCAAGAGTAGCTAGAGTATTGATAGCATACTCGCAATGAGCCGGCGAGGTAATGTGAATCGTGTCGTGGAAAAGGTACTTGCGTGCAGTGTAGGCACAGTTGGTCGACTTGTAGTCAGGATTCGGAGGTCTGCAAGGAAATAATGCAGTTAGCGTCTTTGTTCGGAAAACAACCTGTCGAACCACGTTTCGCCTTGTGCCGGAATACTTCACTACTTACACGACAATGCCAATGGGGAGAGCGTCCGCGCAATAGCCGTTCCGATCAAGGTAGCCAGCGGTGGGGCCGGTAGTCAGCATGCCAGCCTTGATGGACCTCAAGCCCTGGGTAAAATCGGGTGCAAAGATGGTGATCTGCCCGCGATACGTGTTGTTGTTTCGAAGCTCTGTGATGAGGTTGTTCACCGCTACACGGTAGTTGTTCGCGAAGTCGGCGACCTTATCTCTGTCTGCCTGGGGCAGTACCTGAATTCTGGGAATGAGCTCGGCCGGCAGGACAGAGAGGAAGACAAAGTTGCGAGCTCCTGCGCCGTAAATCTAGGGTGAGATGTCAAGGTCAGTCTCTGGTTCAGTTGGTCTCGCACTTTCAAGCCATGAAAATAGCGGCTGAGTCGAAGGGGTAAACAATTGGAGTTATTTACTTGGGCAAACTTGGTGCGGATGACTCCGATCAAATTGTTGATGGTTTGAGCTTGGTTAGTGGTGGTGTTGTAGGTACCAAGAATGTCATTTCCAGTGTTCGATGCCAGGAATATGAAGAGAGAATCCCTGGCTGAAGCCGTGCCTGCCGTACGAGCCGCAGTGAAGGCGGTGACGATCTCGTTGATCTGATCGTTCCAGTTGATAATGGGACTGAACCCGGGAAGGACCTGTGTGGGCACCGCAAAGCGAGAGTCAGTCACCGCCCCAGGGTAGGCAAACTTGTTGAGGACGACATTGTTTGCTCCACGCGCGTTGGCGATGTAGTTGATGTGGTTTGGTCCGTTCGAGGTCGTACTATAGCTTCTATCATCGCTCTTTGTCAGATTCGCCAAAGCACTCCTGGAGAGTTGGTTTAAATACGTACAAAGCCCCACTTCCGATGTAGTCGTATGATGCGCCGGCCGTCCATATGTTCCGGATCGAGTTGAAACCTCCCCAGTTGGCCCCTTGGGCATCGACTGCACCCGCAAGTAACGCGGCACAGAGAGCGAGAGACGAGTTCCACTTGAGATTCATGATTATTTCTGAATGGATGAGAGCTCGAGGTTTTTGTTTTGGCAGCTGAAGAAAGAAACGAATGGTGGTGATAGCGAGTGATTACCTGGGAAGAGGCTAGATCTGAGAGATGTGATAGTAGATGTAGATGATATTGCTTTGAATGACATCGTCGCCGTCTTATATATGATACTTGACCTCAATTACACGCTGGGATAGTCCTTTTGAGTAAGACGGTCTAGACCATAATCACTATCACACAGGATCATGTTTCTCTGAGCCTTAAACCTCGTCCTCGGATACGGGTAGGCACGCAAGCCATCCATCGTGTGTTGCATGACGTATGGGATCGCCAAATTACCTGGGTAACAAACCTTGCCGCACCTGATGAGTTAGAATCCGGCATGCACGATTGTTCCTGACTTTCAAAGCCTGTTCACGCAATACAGTCCGAGGTTTTAGCCTCCCCCGCGATCCGATGATCGGATGTTGGAGTAAGACCCTCCTCCAGGGGCAGCAAGACGCATTGACTACAAAATTAGACTGACTTCGTCTGCCATCCGAAAACCCCAAACGGTGTTGTATTTTGGGAGTTGGTGTGGTCCAATGTGAGCTCCAATTCGGCTTTGAGAGCATGGACATGTTTGTGTACAATACCGAGCGAAGGAATTAGGTAGGATTTGTGTTCCTAAGCTCATTGACTCCCTTCTCCAGACCTGAGCCGTCGCCTATGCAACGACGAGCGTGCACAGGGGCCAGTGCACCAGGCAGCTTTCAAATTGAAGCAGAGGTAGCTCACCACTTACGAGCAGCCGACTACGTGATTTGGAAGATGCTTCCACTGATAATATGTAACTTGCGGCTTTCTTAGACTGACCTTATCAGGCTGCCTAGCCAAAGTCGAGGATGATGAAGTGCCGTAGGAAGGACAATTCGATGGACTCGGGAGTTTCCAATCCGTCACTGGGTTAGGACAAAGGCTTTATTGAAATCGATATGACCATAGTCTTCAAAAAACTTCTCTTTGTGCAGTCATTATTCTGAATCAAGTTTTTCTCGTAGTCTTTATGCAACTGTGTCTTTCAGTCTACTGTTGAATACAAAACAACAGGTTCAAGACAGGCGTCGAGTTGTGAACAGAACGCTTTCCTCAGAACTAATTCATGTAGTACATAAATTCGCCTACATCATCCGTTAAGTGAACGAAAAACAGTCCTAGTATCTCATCGTAACCGAAACAACATCCACACACAAAAGTCATCAGTGTCGAAGATCCATCCACTGAGCAACCGAAACAACTCCATAGGTCTGTCCATCTGCCATCTGCCATCCACAAACACAGCACGACACCAAGGCTACAATGTGCGAGGTCAAGCAAATCCACGAGAGCTGTATTCGCTGCAGCAAAGTAGTCCGCCATGTCACGGACATGAAGCCTTGTGAGAACCACATCCAAGTCAGATCCAAGAATGGAACTCTGGCTCACTGGTGCAAAGGTAAGATCACAAGAAGTATCCACGAGACCTACTTCCCAACTCGTCATCCATGTAACGACGCCTCACATGCCGCAGCATTGTCGCGTTGGACCTCTCAACCAGCCAGACAACCACCGCCCTCTGGCCCCCAACCTGTAGAGCGCCTCGGCGACCTAGGCATCCGACGTGGGAAGGTAGTAACCCGTGAGCCCCAGTGTCAGAATGAGACATGTGATAGTCTTTGCTGTTTAGAGCATTTCAAAGCTTGGCCCGAGGCACTGCCAGAAGCTGTCAAGCAGCCCCAGACGAAGTACATTGGCCATCAACTCGATCCCGCCAAGCCCTCTCATGATTTCGACATAGTATTGGGTGTCTCAGAGGCTCGATTAGAGACACATCGTGTTTTTCGGAAGTTTAACCAGTGGCTTGATGTCCCTTCGTTTCGTGTCAGATGCCTCGACGACACCAACTCTTTCTTCGATATCGATGCAACACTATAGGTGATGAAATCCAAGGGCATTGAGAGTAACTTTGTGGCTTTTGAATTACAGTTACAAGCTCGTGCTTTCAGGCGCGTGCTTGGATCTCGACATTGCACAGTTTTCGGCTGGCTAAGCAAGACAAAGGATTTAGGTAGAAAATAGGTAAGTAATGGGAGTTCTGCAACTTGAGTTGAGGATGATATCAATTTCCAGTAATACGTAATCGTAGATGAGAAGTTATTGGGGGATCTTCTCTAGATAGGCTAAGTAGGATTGAATTCTTCTGAGACAGGAAGCCGAGAACGTGAGAATATGACCATTATTCACCCCCTACTTTTTGTAGGAGCAAGCATGATTCAGGAAGATCGTCGTCTCATCAGATTGTTAAGAGCGCAATTGAAGACGCCGGCAAGCTGAAACTATTGTTCAAGACTTCATATTGCCTTACGTCGCCCTCCGGCTCCCCAGACACAGTCTCGAAACTTTGTCCCGCCCACGTCCTGCTCACGAAATTCTGTAAGCTTGTGAAGCAATTGCAAGATTAGAAGTCAACTCACAATCCAGCATTAGCAGTCGTATTTTCCGAGAGCAACATCTTCACCGTAATTGATAAACCTGAGCCAAGGCCCTTCAGATTGACGCTGATGCTTGGCTTCTCTTGTCCACCGAGATGGACCTGTGTGTTCAAGACAACAACCCTGGCAAGTCTCTCCTGCTCCCATATTCCGTACGCGGTAAGAGTAATATTACTAGTCGGTATTTCGGCAACGTACGCTTCGCCAGACTTCCCGATGGCTTCGTTAACAATCAAAAAGGCGTGATATGATGGAAGGATATGAGGCCGACTGATATTTAGACCGTCATCGGAATCACTTGTTGGTTGTATCAGGTTGTATCTGAAGCCCACCCCATGGTGGAAATGAAGCCTTTGTATGCCGAAAGAGGCGCCGAGTAGAAGCCAGTCGACAGCCCAGAGTGCACTCTCGACGGTATTGCTCAGTCCTGGCTGACCATGGCTATGAAAACGTCACAAAGTTAGAACATCGCCAATATCAAATGGGTGAGACTGACTTTGCATAAGAGTTTGTCTCGGCCTATCAAGATGTCAGTAGGCGAAACGACATGGTGTGTACAGGACGCTCATACCAGGAGATAATCTAAATCCACGGATCTCACTGCTTGGATACCAGCCATCTTCGAAGTCATATTGCTGCGCACATGTATCTTGTTCATGAGATCGCCGGGATTCACAACACGGCGTGGATCGAAGCCGCCAGAGTAGGCATGCTCTGTGAACTGAGTCGTCGCATTTCGAATGGTCAGATCATTCAGTATGCCCAGCTGCAAGGGTCCCGCTGGCGTCCATTCTGGTGCGTTGAATCCGGTAAAGGCTCCAGGTGACAGTGTAGGCCCACCCAAACCCGAGTGGTCGAATGTGATCTCTTTGCTAACTGCCTCAGCGTACTGTGTCCAAGTATTTGTGTAGTTGGCAACATCCCACTCAACACCATAGGGCCCATTGCGTCCAGTCCGCGTCAAGCCGTAAAAGTCAGGCTCATTACCCAACTCAACGTTAACAAGTCGCACATTCTTGGTCAAGTTAGCCCGGTCTCCTTGGAAAGTCTGGGCAAGCAACCGGGCCTGGGCAACAGTCTCAGTCTGGTTCAAGGACTTGAGATTGATACCCCACATGAAGGGCGTTCCGGCCGGTAGGTTCCCGGATAAGGCGTAAAAGTCTCGACCGATGTAGATGTGGTCAGCCTCTGGGTTGGGGACAGTCTCAGTTGGTTCCGGAAAGGTCTTGTTCATGACCTCGAGGCTTAGATCTAGGGTGGCTCTGTCTTGCGAGTTGGCTCCTACTCGGAGGAATGGCATATGCCCGGTCCTTTCCCCTAGATTTAAGAGAAGCTGGTTGAAATACTCGTTTGGCTTGCTGACTTCTTGCCCGGCCCAGTCTGGCCAGCGATCCATCTCTATGCTGAAAGCCGCGAGGTGGGGAGAGAGCTTTTCAGCCCATTCTGGTCGGCGGCTTGGTACATTCAAGTTGAGGTTGTAAACAAGGCCATCGCCCAATGCTCTACCCAGAATGACGAAGAGAATCAGGGGAATAGACATTTTGCACAATGCAGCAGTTGTGCTTGGAGGGAAAATGAAAAGTAGAAAACTAAGTCACCGATCTTTGTGAAGAACCTAGGAAATGGAACTTTGATAAGGCCTTGCAAGTAGCTTAAATACATGTCGGTGATGTTGTTTGCCGAGATATTTAGCCGACTGGAGCTATGATACGTGATGTCGAGATTCTGCCAACTTCCAACGGACCTCTAGCCTATCTCAGAGACAATGGACTGTATCAACGGTTGAACATACCCCTTCAGTCAGTCTTTTTGAGCTGTGATTCCACAAATCGCTGTACTTTAGCAATTACATTTGCTCCCGGGGTAGATGGTCGGGCAGAACAAGGCGACATGGTTCCCCGCAAGAAGCCAAATGTCACTGCAACACTACTGCACGAAATTGAAGGTGCGATTGGCCATGGTAGCCACTATGGTAGCCGATTTTCTTTGCCGGTATTCCTGTGGATACGCGTATTTTGACTGCATATACGGTCAGATTGATCAAGTGATTGCAACTGGGATGCCGAGCCGATGGAGATTTAGTAAGTGGTATTGAGTGGCAAATGTAGCGAAGTCTGTCGCACTGCGATTTCGTACCTCGGGTAAAGCTCAAGCAACTGGCAGCAATTACTTTGAAGGCAATTCTATCTGTAAGGAATGAACTATAGAGGAGTTCTATGTCACATTATCTCCATTCAAACTGTGGTTTAGATAGAACAAATCTTAGACGTTGGTCTAGTCTCCACGACCCAGAATTTAGAGATGCGATGCAATTAACATACCTGAACAAATATGTTGATAAGTATGGATAAACATCCCTCATAATGTACGGCTTTGTATCAAACCGGTATACTTATGCTGCCTTCTCTTTGTGGTGAATCACTTGTTAAGAAGGATCTAAGATACGTGAATCACGAATACAAGGGGCCAGATTGGTCTTATGTGAACGCAGTAGATCCTGCCCAAACAAACTGCGGCCGATGGATTTGTTTGGAAAACAACCTTTCTTTGACTACATTGTGACTGTCTGTACCAGGACGCTCGAGCTTCAACCACAGGCCTAGTGTTCACAAACATTGCCACCACCATATCATACAACAACATCAGGCCAGTCTAAGTATATCTCAAGGCTCTTCTCCTGTCGCCATCTAGGTCACCTCAGAAACCATCAAACACAGGCAACTTCCACAGAACGTACAAAACAACAACAAAAGCGTATAGGAGCTTCCTTGAAAAAGACATAACGAGGTAGCAAAATGTGCATCATCTACTGCTGCACGGAAAGATGTATCCGGTGTAGCCGCCCGATAAACTATTACGAGTGACAATTCCCCTGCGCAGAACGCTACCGGTACATTGACGAGATCTCTGGTGCCGAGATTCCCACGTGTCCCAATGATCTTAGATGGATTACAGGTATGGAAGGATGGCGGCCTCACTGTGGTTGGTGCCCGCTCACGAATCTGGAATTTGACAACCGACCAGCGCGGCGATAGTTGATGAGGATTGGCAGATCAAGGCGTTGGGGCAGAAGTTGTTATGCAGTACATGATTTTAATGGACCTATTCCTCCACAACAACTGGCTTATTGAATTTCAAGACTCATATGTGGCGTTTGGGGTTTTGACACTCAAGGCTTTAGTACGTTCTCACTTGTCTTCATGAGTGACCATAGCGGCCGATGAGGCACTAGGTTCAGTCTTTCTGTATCGTCCTCTTCTGCTGTTTAAGAAAGTAAATCAAGAAGGCAATCTCAATTTAATTTGTCCTACGCATCAGAACCCCGCTACTTCAGTCCCCGAACTCTTTCTCTGTTAGGATATTGTCTCCAATGTTCATTTTTTTGGACTTCAATTCTCTGCACAGAAACTTGAACCTTCGATATCGGACAAGACAAACAGAATCACTCGGAGCCCTCGAGATAATGGCTCTCTACTTTGGCTGACCTCGAACGTACCAATGACCATCCCCTCCTTCTCGGGATGGGCTGCTGACATCAGCGCTGTGCCTTGCATCTTACATGCGTGGCTTGCCCAGTTGTTTTCCAGTCTCACCCAAATCATAGAAATCCTCTTCCATCTCCAAATCGCAGCGATTGGTTATATCGGAAATCCCACTCAAGACCCTTAAGACGGTTGCCAAGCCTGCAAACCCAACGTCTTCTCATCTTGTCTATGGCGGAGAGCAACGGGTGACACTCGTCTCAACTTGATTGGAGATGGGATCAGGCCCAAGTTCATCTGACCATCGCAGCGGCATGTGGGAAATGGAATTGAGTCGACTAATGTCCTGCTACTCGCCTTGACGTATTTTTACTTGTTGAAAGGAAAATTGCCGAAGTATTTGCATGCGAAACGGCACCAGAGCTTGTTTGATTGCTAAGAATATCGTCACTTTGCTGACGTTTCGTAGAATAACTAGGAAAGACAGTACGGAGTAGAGCCCATTCAATGGACCCTGGAGGTAGTAGTCACGGAGGGTGCATCGGTGCGTATCCACCCGAAGAGCCGGCGCCCCGTTGCAGCATTCCAGATATCAGACCCCTAGCGGCATATCAGGCAACAGCTGAAAACTCTCCTTACGGTCAAACGTATCATCAACGACCTGATTGGAGAGCGAATGATTCAAGCCCCTAAGGAACATCAGTTAGTCTAGATGAACCGGTCTCCAAACGAAACCCCTCGTCAACATCCTTTTGGGCGCAAAAAGATAGCCCTAGAGGAGGATTCACGCTAATTTCTGACAGGCGCGCCCGCAGAGGATGGTGGATCAACTTGTCTTCCCTTGGACCAGATTGGTATTAGTTTCTGGATCTCTTCCCGGGTCTGCGTAGTGCGCCGCGTTGAGGGCGTGCTTGTCTGGGATGATATGTAGAGACGATATCCCTCTGGCAGACTACCATTGAGACGCTTCTCCTTCTAATCACCCTGGCTGGTTTGCAATTCTGGTAGACGACCAATTCACAACCAAGCTGGTGTTCACAAAGTAGCATCACTCAATAACCACGGCCGAGCAAGATGGCAAGTCAAGTCGGCCACGGGCTCGGAAACATGGCGGGCAACGGTACAGCCAAAGCAGGAAGCTTTCTCGCTTTCCTAGTCGAGGATGTGCAAAAGTCGACTTCCTCGTACGCTACGGTAGTGTTTCTCCTCGTCTTTGCGATATTTGTCCACAAGTTCTCGTCGCCCGAGCTGGACAGCCGCGAGCCGCCAGCGATGAAGTCTCGGATCCCCGTCATTGGGCACTTGATTGGCATGATCCAGCACCAGAGCCGGTACTTCAAGGTTTTGGAGTAGGTCTAATTACACCCGGTAAGACATCGACAGGCGACATGATGCTGACACTGACGCAGGCGCCGGAATATGGGCATCGCGACGCTGCCTATCCTGAATGGCAAAATGTATGGCATCTGGGACCCAATTCTGATCCAGGCCGTGTACCGAAACCGTAATCTGTCATTCGAGCCATTCGCAGTTGAGTTTGCGCAGAGGGAATTGGGCTTCAACAACGAGACGCTCAAGATCATCGAAAATGGCACCTTGTTACCCGAGTTCTTTGAGGGTATCCATGTTGGCATGGCGGCAGATAATCTGCATCGCATGAACGCCTCCGCCCTCACATACGTGTCTGATGCGTTGGAAGATCTGTGCAAGGGGAACGAAGCTTATGAGGCGACTAATTTCTGGATATGGGTGCGGAACTTGATGACTATGGCGACCACTGAGGCCCTGTACGGGCCCGGAAATCCGCTGAGAAAAGATGCAAGCCTGATGAAGGATACCTGGTGAGTAGTATCTCAAACACTTTGTGCAGCGATCAAGAGGCCTCATACAAGTACAGGATCTTTGAGTCGGACCTGCCGGTGCTGATGCTGGGCATCGCGCCGTCCATCACGGCACGCAGATGCTTCCAAGCGAGGGCGCGGCTCCAAGCGGCGTTGGGCGAGTACTACGGAAGCGACGGGGATTCGCACAAAGATGCATCGCAGATTGTCAGGAACCGCGCCAATGTTTTGCGAAAACACGGCATCCCGGGCAAGGAGGTGGGTATATTCGAGGTTGCCCTGCTGCACGTGGCCACCTCCAACACCATTCCGACGCTGTTCTGGTTCATGGTGCACGTCTTTAGCCGTCCCAAGCTGGTGGCACGTCTGAGGGATGAACTCTTGCCGGTGGCGCAAGATGGCGGTAACGGAGAGGTCACGCTTGACATTGGTACCCTTGACGACCGCTGTCCCTTGCTTGTGCGCTGCTATCGCGAGGCAATTCGCGTATCGAGTAAGGGAATGGGCAACCGACGCGTGTTGGAGGATACGACAATATCAGATGGCAGTGGAAAATCGTATCTTCTCAAGAAAGGTTGCAACGTGCAGATGTCATCTCAAGTCAGCCATAGCTTAGAAAAAGCATGGGGACAGGATCAAGAGTCGTTTGATCCGGATAGGTTCATCGTTAAGACTGGGAAGGAACATGCCGAGACGGAGAAGCTGAAGCGAGCGGCCTTCATTCCCTTTGGTGGTGGTAGGCACCTGTGCCCTGGACGCAACTTTGCGTTTGCAGAGAATCTCGGCTTCGTGGCGTCTCTGTTGCTTGGATTTGATGTTGTGCCTCTGGACGGGAACATGGAATCGACGGCCAAGGTGCCCGAAGCAGCGGGATGTTCGATGACTGGAGCCGCCGTTAAACCCGTTGATGATGGCGAGGGTTACGGAGTCCGAGTTCGGAGGAGAGAGGGATGGGAGGGCGTGAAATGGCGGTACATTAGCTGAAAGGGTTTGAGTAGATGTCTGGGTGCAGTCAATGTGAATGGATCGAAAATTTCCACAAGCCGTTGAGCGCAGGACCCCGTGAAGTGTCATTCCTTGATGATGTAGGGCACCTAGGTGGTGCCGTAGCCCGTAGGACCTTCAGTCAATCGCCAAGACCTCATATCCGGAAACCAGGTTTGGATGCCGCCGGCGTGGCACAAGATAGGAGTGATTGGAGTGAATAAGCTAGTTCCCCCGTCAATTTGGGGTACGATGATGATGATGCTGCTGCTGCGAGATTCGAGGGCGAGACCGGGGTGGAGATGTCATGGAGCTTAGCTGGAGCAATCTGCCAAGAAATTTGGAGCTGGGGAGCTGGAGCTGGAGCTCCGGGAAGCTCAGCCACACGCTACACGTGACAGTCATCACCTATTGACGTCATGGCAGCGTTGTCGGGTTCCAGCTAAGAACTGGCGGCAGGTACGATACTGGGCCCGGCAGATAGCTCTTTCTTCTGGTGCCGGTGCTGTTTATCGCCCTTGTTTCTTAGATTCTTTAATAGAAATGCTTCTTTTTCCATAGCTAGGCGCATATTAAACACCACAATCCAGAAACAGACGTCGAAAATGAGCTACGCGTTCCGTCGCGTATGCCTGCAACTCCCGGCCAGCTTCGGACCTAAGCATGGTCCGCTGCGTCAAGCTTTCCGCCCAGCCGGGCCCGGCATTGTCACAAGACAGATCCCGGTGAACAGACGCGCGTTTGGGCTCTCCACGAGACGGCAAGGCGACGTCGACGATGCCAAGGCTAAGAAGATCAACCAAGATGACATGACCAAGGAGGAGGAAAGGGAGAAGCTGGAGCGTGACGAGCAGATTGCCTTGAGAAAGCAAGAGGAAAGGCCATGGCACCGCGCTGGAGACGAGACTGAGCAGCGGGAGTTGTGCAAAGATCCCACAAACGGCGATAAGACTCGCGGTATGTTAGCTCTACTGTTCCCTGCGCTCAAGCACACGTGCAGTGCATGATTACTTACTGTTAGCCAGGACGACTACTCACGACACCAACGAGGCTCTTGAAGCTCATCCTACCGTTGCCCTTCCACGCTGAACAAGCACGCAACATACAATCCTCCAAAGATAAGAACGATGATGACAGGGATTCAATCGCCCCGCTTGCCCTCCTTGTCCACCCTCAGCAGCCGTTGTCCTACCTCGAAAGACTCCTCCAGGCTGAAATTCCGCCCATCGACGATGGCCGCCGAGAGCGGATTCCAAAGATATACTTCCGAGCAGAGGGCGATCACAAGGATGAGAAACAGGACAAGAGCGGATCGCAGAAGAAGGAGGGTAACGTCGCCTCTTACTCGGGTCTAGGTCACAAGGGCCCAAGGAAGGACCGCGATGAGACGAATTGGGTCAGATGGAGTAGCAGTACCGAGGTTGGCGACTTCATCCGAGACGCTGCTCGCGGTCGAGAGTTTGCGATTGGCATCGAGGGCTACGAACAAGAGTTGCGGGTAGCTGTGCCGAGCTTCAATGACCGCACATACTACATGCGCGTTCGATTGCGGAGAATGTCTCGCCGTGTCGAGGAGCTGGCGAAGCTCAAGCAAGAATGCGACACACTTGCGCATCGTGGAGCACATCGCATGGCACAGGGAGGATTCGGCCTCCTCGCCGGTTGGTGGGGAGTCGTGTATTATGTCACCTTCCACACCGATGCCGGCTGGGACCTCGTCGAGCCAGTAACGTACCTGGCTGGTCTAACGACTATCATGGGCGGTTACCTGTGGTTCCTATACATCAGCAAAGACCTCAGCTACAAGGCGGCCTTGAACATTACCGTCTCCAAGCGACAGCAGGCACTGTATCAGGAGCGGGGCTTTGATCCCTCGGCCTGGGAGGCGCTCGTCCACGAAGCCAACTCGTTGCGTCGCGAAGTTCGATTCGTGGCAACTGAGTACGATGTGGACTGGGACGAAACAAAGGATCTTGGCGGCGAGGAAGTCATGGAAGTTCTAGACAAAGAGAAGAAGGGTAGACGGAGAAGCGACGAAGACGAAGACGAAGACGACGCCGAAGAAGAGCGAGCAGAACATAAACGCAAAGAAGACAAGAAGAAGGAAAAGTCTGATGACGGGAGCGAAAACAAGTCGGCATCATAGCAAGTTCCTAGAAACCTTCTTTCAAGTGCGATACCCCCTGTATGAATATAATAGCCACGTTCTAGCATGATTAAAGCAAGCATATTTCAGAGAGTTGTCGGGGAGGCCTTGGAGTCCTGTCATCGTTTTGCCATGATCCTACGGTTGTTCTGGTAGTGGCTGACTATTCCGTAAAATGACACAGACGGCGGTGATGGGATACCCTCTGATGAAGTTCCATCTGTTGTCAGAAGACTTGCCGTGTGGTGAGGTGGCATTTCTCCAGAGTCAAATCGCGGGGACTGATCACTAGTTGTTGGAGGAAAGATTTTCTCATGCTGTCAAGCTTCATCGGGTGACCGAACGTCAGATTCGGTGTGTTCCGGTAAGGCCTGCCGAGACGGGGCGGATCGGCTTCACCGAGATGCTCCGCTTTCAACCGCTACGGCCCACCACATGCCAATTCCACAAGGCGTGCAAGGCCAAGGGAGCGAGGAAAGCCTTGAAAGGGAGGGGAGCTCTGACCCCTAGGCGCCCAGACACCAAACCGCCCAACACCACCATCCCCGCCGCCGACGCCAACGGGAGAGCTTCACCCCACTTGGTTAACGCATCATCACACCACTACCCAACCAACAGGTCTCTGTTTGTCAGAATCTCGCAACCTTCCATATGGCCCTTCACTGAATGGCTGCGTTGACCTTCGAGAAGGGGCACTAGAATCCATCCCCAGATCTGACGATACCTCTGCATCAACCGGGGGACATCAAGGCCTCGTCCGACGATCGAGTACAAAAGAACGACCGCTCGATATCACTCTGAGAAGCTGATCGACCCCGCCATTCTCCTCTTCCAGGCGTATCCCAAACGGCCACGACCCAACCCCCGATTGGACAGCAAAGACGCCTTCCTCTCTTGTCTGTCTGTCCTACCTCGCCAGGTCCCTAGGTACCCTACCTTGCCTTGCGTGCTCACCCTCCGTCTTGACCCCCTCCACCAGAAGCTAAAGCTCGGGCTACCAAGGTATCCGTACGGATAGAAGCGGTGCAGCTCCACCCCGCGGCCATGGCCCCCCAAATCATCCACCTTCCAGACGGACAGAAGTTCACAGTCACGCCAGTCTTTGCGGGCCTCTTTTTCAAGTCCCACGAACTCAACACACACAACAACCCTTTCCCCATCGGCTGGACGATCGTGCTCAATACCGAGGATGCGCACCTCGAGGTGGATGACGTCGACGGTCAGCAGGGCGAGGAAGACCGCACCCGCCGGCGACACATACACAGCTTCAAACAACCTACACTACAGGGCGATAACCTCTTCATCTCGTCGATATCACAGCCTTCAAGCACCGAGTTTAAGCCCGCCGCGAGCCCGACACGTCAGATCGCCATGATGCTCTGGGTGACGCTCTACTGGTACTTCCATCAACCACAACCGTCACCTTACCTCACGACCGATGCATCGAGGCTAACGCCGGAAGAAGCGCGGCCCAAGGGCGAGTGGCGCATCAATATCAAGCGTGACGGGGTATTGCGTGGCAGGAACCTCATACCAAAGCTTGAGCGTATGGGACTCATTGCATCGCTGGACTCTGCGGTGGGGACGAACCTCAAGGACAACGGCGAGGAATGGTCGCAGATGTTTGTCTCGCGGCGCATGTTTTGGCAGATACCGGGGCGGCTGTTCTTGTTCACCCTGCAGCGTACTAGTGCCGCATCGACAACGAACCCCGAATCGCCAAACGGGAGCAGGCCGACATCACCTGCTCGAACCGAGTCGATTCACTCAAGGCATCATACGCCCATACACTCCCCGCACCAATCTACGGGGGGCCGTTTCGATGTAGACCTCCCCGGAGGGCCTCCGCCGATGACCATGGTCACGACCTTGAACTTCCCCATTGGGCCGTTCTATTCCAGTTCACATCTCCCAACGTACTACCCGCCGGCGCCTTTGATGTATACGGTCACCAACGGTGTGCGCCATCCAATCCGCAGGAAACCAGGCCGGATGGGTGAAGTCTTTTACTCGCGCTATGTGCCGAGCGTTGGGCAATATCTGTCATTTCGGGTAGCGTCACTTACACCAGAGCCTGTTCCCTACCTCGGACCCCTGGGCCCCAAGCCTGTCGAGAATGGCCACCTCGCCAGCCTGTGCGACACAGATCTGCTGCAGTCGTGGCTGTCGAACCCACGAGTACAGAAGTTCTGGGGGGATTACTCGCCAGACTTTTTGAGCAACGCGCTGAGCTCCAAGCACTCGTTCCCGGTGATTGGCATGTGGGATGGGGTGCCGTTTGGGTATTTCGAGATTTACTGGGTCAAGGAGGATATTCTGGGCCAGAAACTAGGGAACGATGCTGGGGACTACGACCGCGGTATCCACGTTTTTGTAGGCGAAGAATGGGCGCGGGGACGGGTGCCAGCATGGCTGACGAGCTTGGTGCACTGGTGTTTGACTGACGACTATCGCACAATGCATGTTTGTTTGGAGCCACGGATAGACAACGCGAGGTAAGACACTTCAGAAATATCGAGGACGCAAATAGCGGGCTAACTCTCGAGTCACAGATTTCTGCAACATCTTCAATACGCAGGCTTTGCCAAAGAACGCGAGGTTGCGTTCCCTCACAAGCAGTCCTATCTGATGAAGTTGAATAGGGATGCCTGGGAAGGACCAGCTTTGTGATAAAATGCGTGGGTTTCTTTCTATGAGGGATTTTGGAAAAGAATTTCAACACTAAAAAACACTATAGTCGAGTCGAAGTAAAGAAGCGAGGGTTGATCACGTTTGAGTGCTTACATGTAGTTGTGAGCAAGTTCGCAGAGCCGACGTTGTGCTTATGATGGATGATATAGGAGATACCCGATTTACACCTCGGAATAGAGGCTAGAACAATCGAAAGAAAAAGAAACATATCGTGATATTTCCGCGTCTTGGATATGTACTCAGGAGATCGTGACCGAAATTGCTCAGGTGCTGGTTCTCTCAGGTGAGCAGTATAATTACCTAAGCTACTTAACGCGACGACGTCACAGCGCAGTTCCCGAGTCGCATGTCTGAGACGGGGGTTCCCAGTCCAGTAGCTCAGGTGGGTCCTTTTCCCTCCGGCTGCCTTATCCCGAGAACGTGGTTGGCCGCCCGGCACGTGGGCGATGTACCCCGGTCGAGTGCTGCACTGAGGCACTGAGACAGCGGTTATCTGGTGACCGACATCCGTCAGTCGAAACCGTCGGATGCCAACGCCTCAAACCTAAACCTTTCCAAAGAACGACCGCTCGCGATAAGACGATTTGACCGCCCCTCCCGTCTCTCGATGCCGTCTTCTTTCCGGATTCGATAACAGCGCTGTGTGAGGGAACTATGACCGGCCGATCGCCTTCGTCTTCCGGCCTTCTTCCCATGCCTGGATCACCATCGTCGTCTTGGGCAATGTACCGCGCCCGCTTATCTGCTCTCTTTCGAAATGCTGATACTCAGGTGATTGTGGCCTTTTGGTTACTCGGTGCGCTTTCTCGGCCTCTTCGTGCTAGGTCTGTCTTTGTGCTGACGTGTAGGGATAGGCCTCATCAACAACGTCCTCTACGTAATCATCCTCTCCGCCGCCCAAGACCTCGTCGGCTCGTCCGTCCCGAAAGGCGTGGTCCTCCTCGCCGACGTTCTCCCCTCCTTCTTCACGAAACTGATCGCCCCTTACTTCATCCACCGCGTGCCCTACTCGCTGCGCGTCTTGATCCTCATCGGCCTGTCGTGCTCGGGAATGCTTCTCGTCGCCCTCACGCCGCCCACGAAATCCGTCGCTGTGAAGATGGTCGGCGTCGTCATCGCCAGCCTCAGCTCCGGCGGCGGCGAGCTCAGCTTCCTCGGTCTGACGCACTACTACGGCCCCATGAGCCTCGCGGGCTGGGGCAGCGGGACGGGTGCGGCGGGTCTAGTCGGGGCGGGTCTTTACGTGGTGCTCACGGACTGGTGGGGCTTCAGCGTGCGGAACAGCCTGTTGTTCTCTGCGTGCTTGCCGTCCATCATGTTTTTGAGCTTCTTCGTCATATTGCCAAAGGAGCCCCTCAAGGCGGGACGGAAGGAGTACACGGTCGTTCCGGAGCAGGATTTGGAAGAGGAGGACGTCGAGGAGCTGTCGCAGAACGCGGCGTCGTCGGCTCTACTTGCGCCGGGGCCCGCGACCACTTCGACGGCGTATTCGGTCCAGCACGCTGATGCGCACAGCTTCGAACACAACTTGAAGAGGGCAAAGTCACTCTTCTTTCCGTACATGCTGCCGCTGCTGCTGGTGTACATTGCCGAGTATACCATCAACCAGGGGGTTGCGCCGACGCTACTCTTCCCGCTGGCGTCATCACCGTTCAAGGAGTTCCGCGAATTCTATCCCATGTACGGGTTCTTGTACCAGCTGGGCGTCTTCATTTCGCGGTCTTCGACGCCGTTCTACCGGATTCACCGCCTCTATCTACCTTCGCTGCTGCAGATCGCCAACCTCGTGCTCCTGACGTGCCATGCGCTGTTCGACTTTATCCCATCGGTGTACGTGGTGTTTTTGATTGTATTCTGGGAGGGATTGTTGGGAGGCGCGGTGTACGTCAACACCTTTGCGGAGATTATGGAAAAGGTACCGAGTGAAGACAGGGAATTTAGCTTGAGCGCGACGAGCGTGAGCGACAGCGGGGGTATCTGCATTGCCGGGTTCGTCGGCATCGTCATGGAGGTGCAGCTTTGCAACTGGCAGGTTGCGCATGGACGGGATTGGTGCCGCAAGATCAAGGTTGGATGAGAGGAGACTATCAAGATGCTATGCTCTACAGCAGCACCTGCGGAGCGGCCTGTGTCGAGCGTGGGGGCCCCGCGACTGGAGAGGGTTCTGTTACGATGTTTTGAAAGAGGGTTTGTGCCGTCGTCCACGATACAATCCGAGAACGGGCGCTTAGGTTACACGGTGTCGGGCCCGGGGGTTGGCCGGAGGGGGGGGGGGGGCGTCGATTAACAACGCTCAGCGCTGCGTGGCACGACTTTTGTTTCCCTCTTCGTGATTCGAGAACATTGTGTATCATCTGGGAGCGGATTTGCATTACAGGCGTCAGCCACAGGATAGAACGGTCGGGTACTCCCTTGTCTCACTGGACTCGGCAATGCATATCTATTGGAGAATATCAAGAGACGTGTGGACGGGAATGAAATTAACCAGGGCAGGGTGGTGGATGAGGCTGTTCCGACGTCAGACATTGTGCCACTTGCACGAGGGTCCACAAATACGTTTATAGGGGAGAATGGCGCGCAATCGCTTGATTTTTTGGCATGACTTTGAACCGTCTGGTTGAGGGAACAGCTGACACAACATGCCATGATGGGTCCCCCTTTTTGTTTTCAATACCACAAATCATCAGTGAGATTAATCAGAGGAATCTGACTGGCAAAAGAGAGATGCTAGATTCCAGATCTAAGTTTCAGTGATTTGCTCATTGCACATGATTCATGGTGGTTGAAGAGATTTCCGGGGCCAATTGGGCGTTGATACGTTCGTTCTCGGGAGGGTCCCGGGGGGGGGGGGGGCTAACGTTAGGGACAACACTCACTGCATGGCAGACCGGACGGGACGTTCCAACGGCGTTGCACTGACCGCTGGGCGGCCATTTGTTTGCATTGTTTTCCAACTTGGCGCGGGAAAAAAAATTAGTAGAGAAAAAAAGCCGAACTGATTAGCCCAGGCGGACTTGTTCCGTGTCCAGTGTTGTTGCCCTTTTACGGCGGTCAGCGGCGAGCGAGCGGCCAGCGACCAACCCGAGAAATTTTCATTCGCAGTCATTTGTTCTTCGGCGTCTTATTGTATTGGCTTCTCATTCGCCTCGGGTTCTTAGTCTCGGTGGTAATAGTAGCCAACTTTGATTCCTGTGGGAAATGATACCTGTTATCCGCCACTACTCTCGGTCCATTTCCTTGAAAATTTCTCTCTTTCTCTACCATAAGTTATCTTAAGGTGGGCGTGCGGTAACCGGTGTAAGGCAGGTGGTCACCGCTGGGCCTGTTCCGGTTCATGTTCGCCCAGAATTCTGAATTCTCTTACACTGAGATTGACCTCAGATCTGGCAGTCTGTCTCTTCTGACCAAGATTCCTGGACTCGCCTTATCTGCACGACACGAAACAATTCTCCTTCCACTTCACCCCTGCTCTATCAAAGACGAATGGTATCATCAGCCCAGATACCTATTCAAGCAGTCACCGCTTCTGGTCTGATGCTACCTTATTCCCACAGCCACCTCATCCGAATACACCTCCAGGACTCCGAATAGGCCTCAGGTCTACATCCACCTCATCTTGAGCTCGACCTTTGAGATGCCAAGTGGTTCTAGATTACGGATCCAATATCCGTCGTTCCTTGCCCCTGCAACCTTCCCGCGCCCCTGCCGCAGCTTCCATCTTCACTTTCCATCCCACCTCGACCTGAGGCTCGGCCTGCAACGCTCGTCCGTTGCCTCATTCGGCTCTAACAACTCAAGGCCTGAGGAAAGGGAAAGTGATACCACCACCGCCCTTTCCTCTCTTTCCCCTTGAAAAGTAGCCACACCTCGACCGAACTTTTTTTGCATCTTCATCTTTCTATCTCCCACGAAAAAGAGCCTCTCTCTTCTACCCTTGACACACCACACGCCTAGGCTGTTCGCAATGGACGACACAGTCGAGTACAACCACACGGCTCGCCCGCATCAAGACATGTCACATACCTCACCACAGCCTGCGTCCCTCATCACAGACCTAGCGGAACTGGACTTCTCCGAAGAAGTGAAGCCACGCACATTCCACCTCTTCAAGGATCTCCCGCCCGAGATCCGCACAAAGATATGGCGTCTCGCAGCGCCCAAGCCCGCTGTCGTGGAGCGCATATCCAATAGCACGACCTTGGCCTACGGACTTCACCGCTCTGTCCCAGCGCTCCTGCAAGTTTGCCAGGAGTCTCGCGCTGAGATGCTCTACGATCCTGAGAACCCGCGTGGTCTGAGAGATGAGCAGTTTGAGATGATGCATCTCTCCAGAGGACACCAGGTGCAGGGCAAGGGCGTGTATATGAATTATCGTCATGATACACTCCTCATCTATAGAGGTGAGTTTTGCCTTTCACCCATTCACCTCACTCTCCAAACAAGGAGGAAAACCATCAAAGACTAACACATTCACAGGACCGGCTCAGTCAATCATGCCCAGCGCTCTCTGCTTCGCCAACCTCCGCCACCTGGCTATGGAATGGGGCCTCCGCCCCTGCTGGGTGCAGGGCCACTGCCACAAGGGCGTCCGATTTCTCCGGCAGTTCCCCAACCTCAAGACTTTCACGCTCCTCGTCAGCTTCCATCCCTTCAATGCGCTGCCCCTGGGCGAGTCGGGCAGAAAGCACCGCGAGCAAACGCAGAAGCGGCGGGCGCTCAATGAGATTAAGTCGTGGGTTCTTGGTGCTATTGAACAGGCTTTGGAGCAGGATGACAATGCTCGTACTGCTGCTGCTGCTGCCAGCAATGACGCCAATATCGATACCACCTCTGGCTCTTCATCTGAGTCTACATCCACACCTTCAGCTGCGCCTTGGTCATCTACACACACCACTGTGTCTCCGGCTATCTGGAATCCACCCGAGGTCAGAGTCGTTCCAAAGACAAAGTACTGGAGCATGCCGGCGCTGGCCTAGAACGTCCCGGACGACATTGCTCACCAGTGTATTATTCACATCATAGTCAGTGGATCTCGAACACTAGGCGAGGAAAAGTTGGATATATATTTCCAATGGCACGTTATTCGCTACGTTCATCATTAGTAAGGTTCCGTCAGCTAGCACTCCCTGGGGGCTCATGGGTATTAGCGGGGGAATGATACCCGTAAAGGAGGGAGAGGACGGCGGTTCTTATGGCATGGTGGAAATCATAAGGAAACATGATAATCTAGGTCATGGGGACATGAGGAAGCGTTTTTTTCTCTCTGGTTCTTTCAGAAACATAGGTAGCATTGGGAAGGTCTGCGGCATCAATGGGGCCTTGGCAAAGGGCCATGGCAAAAGGGCATGATTGCGATGGGGCGCTAACTTTTGATTTTCTTTGATACCAAAATCGATAGGTGGATCGATGACACAAACATCTCTCAGTTCTTACCTCTATGGTGCATTCACGAAAAGAATACCCTATCCTCCGTATAAATATCGTTCCGATTGCATTGATACGTCTGACAAATGAGTGTGTGAAGGTGTTGGTGAGAGCCTCAGGACGGGATGCGACGTTGTTGAGTATGATCATTCAGGGGAGTGAGTGGCCTATCGGAGGAGGCCTTAGGTATTGTATCACTCTGGCCGACCCAGGGGGCTTTGGCACAATGCGCAGTAACGTGAGGTAGTAGACTTCAGGCGCCGTGGGTGACCCCCACGCCAGTGATACCACCAGGGCGCATCTTAGCAGAAAGTGCACGAGGTGTTTTGGTCCAAACTCCTCACCGCATCCATATCGTTGAATGATTGTCTATCTCTTGGAACAGGCTCCATTGCCTTGCCATCTCCGAGATTCGGGTACGGCAGGTACCTCGGTGCAATTATCTCGTGCGAGTGCGAGGCGCGATAGGGACTGTTGTTCGGGAATACGATGGGTGGCTTCGGAGGACGGAGGGAGCTCGGTCGGATCTTTGGGGTGGATTATGATGGGGTGTGATGGTTTTGTTTGTTGATGGTGTAGGCTTGTTTTATGGGTCACGCCCTTCTAGGGTACCTAGGAGGTTATGACGGGATATTGTCTTGACTGGAACGGTACGGAGGATCTGTACTCTTTTTTGCTGTATATTCACTTGTATCTGCACTTGTGTCTGCACTTGCATTTCAATTTACCGTACTGCGGAAGGAGTGCTGGAGAGGTGATGGGTTCGGTGAGGGGCCCAGCCGGTGTGGTGTTGCGCGGTGAGTGTGCGTGTTAGTGCTGTTAGTGATGGTCCGTTACTCTTTGATCGGACTGCTAACACTCAGGATATATATAGAGATATATGCCTGTAACAAACACTGTTTGCCGTTCTTTTCACTCTTTTCAATGTCTAAACCTCGTTATGTCGCGCTTCCTCACAGCATATGTGGATGACGCACCAGGAAAATCCGCGTCGAATAATGGTATTTTTTCTTTTTTTGCAAGCTGAGCAACGTGGCCACGAAGTAATGACCCAAGTTTCAACCACAGGCCGGCAAGCCGGATTCTCTTCATTTGCTAAACCCGCTCATCAAATTGTTCTAGAAGGCTTCTACGCATGCTCATTGCGAGTCCTCCAATCGTAGAAATTTGGAGAGAAGGAAAGGGAGCACCTTGGAGAAAGTGATGCACCTAGAAAGTGATGCACCTATGACGCACCTGCCCTCACCACCCGCTCTTTCCCCGGATTCGCTCAAGCGTCTTGGTGTCGTCACCGTCCAATTGCAGGACGGCCTCTAGACATTCAACTTCATCACATACTCTAGCTCTTTTGACGCCCAACATTAAGACCGTTCACGGCAAACGCATCCTGTTCGATAAGAAAAGTTTACAAGAGGAATTCCAGTATCCAAAGAGACCGGGATCATTAAGCTTCATCAAAGATCGACATCTCCTGCTATTCGTACACCCGTCCTCATAACGCCAAAATGATTCCCGCAAGATCCCTCCCCCTCCGCCGCCTCGCCGCCGCGCGACTCGTCCCCGGCCTCGGAGCCACGACGGCAATCCCCCTCGCCGCGGCGCGCCGGGCTGAGGGCCAGGTCCGGTGGAGCACGCATAACCCCAAGGAAGGCGACCTCGGTGGGCCTGGCGGGCAGGAACCTGTGCCATCTACGAGCAGTGCCGCGCAGAGCTGGTGAGTGTTATCTGCATCTTACGTGACAACATTCCCAAGGGGAATCTTTGTTGTTGGATGTGTGTATCGTGATCCTGTGGTTAACGTGATTTGGCGGACTAGGCCTACGCTGGTTGCTATTGCTGCTGTCGGACTTGGTGTTGGGAGCTATCTTGTTCATATGACTGGCAAGTCCAAGGGACAGGGGACTGTGATGGAGAAGGGGGAGTTTGATAAGTTGGCGGAGAAGGTTGCGTCGAGGAAGTAGAGGTTTGGTGGTGGGGATCTGAACGGATTCAAGTTTACTGTTTTAAGCAAGGTCTGGGGGATGGAAAGGCCAAAACCTGTAAGCTTCAAGGGGGTTGTGTAAGTTTGAAGTATTGAATGAGTTCTAAAGTATCAGAACATTGAGATTGTTGTTCAACGAGGGCAAATAGCTACTTGGGTTTTGAAATGGCTAACTTGGTACAAGTGATTCTTTTGGCTGGTGGTGATGCTGCCCTCTTACATGTCCCATCGAGTGCTGAATGGCGTCGGTACATTGACCTCTAAGTTTCTCCAACGCTGACCCCTTTTCGAATTTTCCAATTGGGTGCATTAGTAGGGATTTAAATGGCGATAGTACATATTATTAAGGAATAGTACGTGATTTGCTATTACCCGAAGTGGCGATGTACTGACGCCATTCAGCATTCGATGGAATACTACCTAACATGTGGAGGAGACCTATCGCGATCGAACACCATATTTCTTTAATTGTTCTTGATTTCTATCTTTTCACTGAGTGTTCGGGCGTAAGGCAATTCCTGAGAGGTCGAATACCGTCTTTATTTGCGTGAAGTTGGGATTGTGAGAATGACTAAGAAGAGCAGTCAGCCTTATTCTCACATACACCTCCAGAAATCTCATAGAATTCATAAGTCAATAAGACAAGGCCTGCAGATGCTACGGTGTCTAATGAAGGAGAAGTGTCAGAATTCTTGAGCTTCCTATCATGACTCGACTGGAACATGAACATGAAGACGATATCTCCCTTATGCAGTTAAAAACGATGATCTTGGCCTCGCGAAATGCATACCACTGCTAGAGTGAGACGCCTTGGGAACCATTAATTCTCTCGCTGACCCAGCGTCGCTTTCATCAGTCTGGCACGAGCGTCTCTATCACGATACCGGGTCCGTGGATGAGTGACTCAAAGCTCCTACCAACTCCTCAAGACGACCTTATATTTCTGCACATATTGTTTTCCTTCTCGACTGCTCCCAGTTCGCGTTCAGCCCAGTCTTTTGCTCTTCAGGCCAACGATTGAGCTCAAGCATTGTTAATCTCAAGCTCTACGCCAATGAGTCTACTGATTCAATGCCTCGTTTTGTAGCTTGTTTGACGACTCGTGTTTGTTCAAGTGGGTAGCCCAGGGAACTCGATTCGGATTCTGATTACACTTACCGTTCGGCAGGTTTCATTGGCTAACTGATACGAGCCCAATATTTGCACAACACATGCAGTCAAACTTGGAAGATCGATCAAAGATCGATCAGCGACTGCTGATCTCCAGAAGATGGTAAAGTAGCTGCTTATACGTAGAGGGATGTCGAAGTCGTCCAAGCATAGAAACTCGGCACCGCTTCGAAAAGGGGTACACTACGAACGTCTATGCTATCCAGATCTACCGGGCTTAATGTCAATATTATAAACCAGGCACGTTCGTCTCAAATTCACTGCTCGAAGTTTCCTTGGACAAGGATTCTGCTTCCTTGTTGTCAGTGGAGCATCCGATGCTTATTGTTCTCTTACTTAAGCGGCAACTCCTCCAGACCCAGTCGAGAAACCCACCTCGAAAAGTTGTTTTCGGCCCTTTGTTCTTTCAACAACTTAGAATGCGAGCATGACACACATGGAGCTCAGGGTTCCCTTAATTACCCTGCTTGCTTAGAAAGCCAAAGCATGGACCCGTTTGTTGCTTGTTTTTCGAGGTTTATGCCCACCTTCTGTATCTGTATTTCCGTAAACCCGCGATTTCATCAGATAGAACTTGCAGAATATTGCTGAGATCCAGACCCATGCGAGATCCTTTCTTGATGGATGTCACTTGGCGGATGCGCTTGGCAGTTGAGCTTAAAATTTAGTCGCCGTACCTTGGTCAGGCTTAGTGCACGACGATATACCGAAGCGACGGTCCAGAATAGCACCTGGGGCATGAAAAGGCCACCATTACGTGAGGTTGCAATCGTTTTCGCGCATGACGTATTATGCCAAAGCTTTTCATGGTTTCCGTCCTCAACTCGGGACGACAGTTGCCAAATCAGTCGCGGGAGCATGATTCAACGTCCGCCACCATGTTGGGCACTCTCCCCTTTGCTCAGCCCTCATTGGCCTTACTGGGCTATGCTGGTGAGCCATGAGTAGGAGCCCCCTGCAGGGGTCCCGCCGATCTACGCAGATATTTCCGCAGCGACGGGTTCCAGATCCCAGGAACGTTGGGTTTCTGATGGTTGATAAGCATCTCGCGCCGCCAACTACCGGTGGATCGGTCCGATCAGATATACCCTCATTGCTCTCAGCCGTTGTCGACCGGCCAATGGCGTTCAGAGCCGCTGGGCCCCAATTGTAACTCGGCTTCTGCGGCTACGCCGTACTCCACCCTGCCGAGTCTTGAGTAAGTTGGCCCGTATGGATTGCACTGACAAAATGGTAGGGAGAGCACAGCTTTTCGGTCAGCTCTCGGAGGGTTACCGCAAAATCCGGTTTAACGGGGATGGTAGCTGTTTGTATCCGCGCGGGTGACGTGATTGAGGGATTTCAATAGCTTGGATTTTGACTGCGATGTTGTTGAATTCTCTTCTTCGGTGCTCAATGATATAAACACAGGCCTTCGCCTTCGAGACTTGGGCTTTGGTCTGATAACCACCTCACTGCACGGATACTTGTCTGCAATCCCATACCTCACTTACACTCTTGCTTGACTTTGACATTATACACATAGCCATGCGAGGCTTCCTCACCACATCCGCCCTTCTCTCTGGAGCTGCGGCCTTAGCTGTCCGCTGCGATAATGCTTCCAGCAATGGCTACGACTACATCGTCGTCGGAGGTGGTACTAGCGGTCTAGCTGTTGCCAACCGTCTGTCAGAGAACCCTGCCGTGTCTGTCCTGATCATCGAGGCCGGTGGCTCAGTTTTCGACAACGTCAACGTCACCAACCCCAACGGATACGGTCTTGCCTTTGGCACTGACATTGACTTTGCCTTCCAAACGACCAACCAGACCTTTGGCGGCGGATCGGTCCAGACCATGCGTGCTGCCAAGGCTTTGGGAGGAACCAGCACTATCAACGGTATGTGGCGATCATCAATTAAGAATACTGGACCCAGATGCTAACACCTTGCAGGACTGGCCTACACCCGCGCTGAAGCCTCTCAAATCGACGCATGGGAGCAACTTGGAAACGAGGGCTGGAACTGGAATTCTCTCTTTCCGTACTACCTCAAGAGCGAGCACTTTCAGACTCCTGAGCCCGCGCGCCAGGTCGCCGGCCGTCTCGCGTACGATGCTGATGTCCACGGCGAAGACGGACCTCTCCTGACCGGCTGGACCTACGGCCAGACCAACGGAACCATGCCCGCCGTCCTGAACTCGACGTTCCAGAACCTCGGTCTGCCTTGGAACGAGGATGTCAACGGCGGAAGCATGGTTGGCTTCTCCGTCTTCCCCCGCACCGTCGACCAGGCGAACGCCGTCCGTGAGGATGCCGCCCGCGCCTACTACTACCCCTACCAGAACCGCACCAACCTGAAGGTCCTGCTGAACACCAGCGCCCAGAAGCTCACCTGGAAGAACACCGCTGCCCTTCCTACCGCTGATGGCGTCCAGATCGTTGCCGCCGATGGCTCCAGCAGCGTCGTCAAGGCCAACAAGGAGGTCATCCTCTCCGCCGGGGCCCTCGTCTCCCCTCTCCTCCTCGAGCTCTCTGGTGTCGGCAGCGCCAACGTCCTGAAGCAGCACGGCATCAAGACTGTCGTCAACCTCCCCACCGTCGGTGAGAACCTCCAGGACCAGATGAACAACGGCCTCTCCTTCGACATGAAGAACATGAGCATCGACGGCACCCTCACCACCGTCGCCTACCCCTCCGTCGCCAACGTCTTCGACAACGCCGACGAGGTCGCTGCCCAGATCAAGGAGGCCCTCCCCGCCTACGCCGCAAAGGTCGCCTCCGTCAACGGGAACGCCACCCGCGCCTCGGACCTCTTGGAGTTCTTTCAGCTGCAGTGGTCTCTCATCTTCGAGTCCCAGATCCCCATCGCCGAGGTCCTCGTCAACGCCGGCTCGGGATCCTGGAGCAGCGAATACTGGGGTCTCCTCCCCTTCGCCCGCGGCAGCGTTCACATTGGTTCCAACTCCACCTCCCGCGCCGTCATCAACCCCAACTACTTCATGCTGGACTGGGATCTGCTCGAGCAGGTCGAGATCGCAAAGTACATCCGTAAGCTGTACAACACCGCGCCCTTCTCCACCTACACTGGAACTGAGACCCGTCCCGGCGCGGACGTTGTCGCTGCTGATGCGGATGATGTCGCGGGCTGGGAGAGCTATATCAAGGGCAATTACCGTTCCAACTTTCACCCCGTCGGCACCGCTGCCATGATGCCCCGCGAGAAGGGCGGTGTTGTTGACGCTAGCCTCAAGGTATACGGTACCGCCAACGTCCGCGTTGTTGACGCCTCCGTCTTGCCTTTTCAGGTGTGCGGTCACCTTGTCAGCACCTTGTACGCTGTTGCCGAGAGAGCGGCGGACCTTATTGCTAAGAGCTCGTAAGGAGTTCCTTGTTTCTCCAGACGACTCGGTCGTGTATCGATCCTCCTCTTTCACATTTCTCTGTAAGTATTTAAAGCACAATTAGATGTTCATAGCTCTAGAGTAGATTGTACAATAGTCACGCGACTTAGTCATTCAAATTCAACTTCGGATTAAATTTCAGTATTCACAAGGGAATCGTTACCAAAGCCGCTGAAGTCTCGCATGATCATTGAAGATTATGTACTTAGTTAAAGTACCTAAGAAACGATGTAGACAATCTTCTCTCCGCTGATGGACCGCATGTGATCCTTCGGCGGCTCATTGACTTGCTTCGACCCAAAGAGCAGGATGCCTTCCGATGCGATGTTCTCGAGTCCTCCTGGCATTAGGCGAACCGGGTTGGCCTGCAACTTGACTCTTCCTAACGAAGCTTCTGATCCAAGATGATTATAGAACTGGGTTGCAAACTCACGAGCTTCGGGGTTGGCCGGGAATGTGACACCTATGAGTGGTCAACAGAGAAGGCCCCTCGCGGTTAAGGTGGCAAAAAGCCTGGGACCACGTACCTTGATATTGGATCTCTACGCCAAGACCTTCCCAGACTGCACCTGTGACTGGCTTGATCCTTAGCTTAGACGGATCAAACCCTGCGAGAGCTGGTGCCCGGAACACCGCCAACTTTCCCGCGTCGACCAATGTATCATGCACACATTCGACAGACGGAGACTGCGAGACCGCATCTATGCCGTAATGAACCCCACCACTAATACCGCAGACTCGGCGAACCGTTGCTTGCCAGTCAGCTTCTCGGTAGTCGACTAGCTCGTCGTATGAGTAAGGAGTTTGGCGCAGCATGTCGTGCTTTGCACTACTGGCGGCACCGATGAGACGTACCCTCGTGCCGGAAGTCTTCTCAGCCAGGCGCACAAGCTGTGCGGCGAAGAGGCCTAACGAGGTTGTTGCGCTGTAGATAAACACATTCACGAGCTCTCCGTTGGCGAGTTTGAGATGGTCGAAACTTCGAGATTGGGTGAAAGGCCCAGGGAGTCCGAGTCGGCTGAAGACACCCTGAGCGGCTGTCAGTCCACACAGACTGACGGTAGCAGCTTCTTGGAACGACATCCCGATGGGAATATTCCATGTGAGGTCGTGATCAATGACGACGTACTCGGCAAAAGCTCCTGGGCGGTAATTGACCGAACAAGCTACATCTTCATAATCAGTACGTCAATGACCTGTTGAGAAGCTGCGAAGTGTTTGACTGACCGCCTTGAACGAATCCAGCTACATGTGCTCCAATCTTGATACGAGGATCATCGATGTTTTGGATGTCTGTGCCAACACTGGCGACCTCCCCGGCGAAGTCGCTGCCGACTACACGGTACTCTTGTGCCGCAATTGGCCTGGAGGTATAGAGCGCGTCCACATGATTAAGCGCAACTGCTTTCACGCGGACAAGAATCTCTCTCGGTCCTGGTTCCGGGGTCGGAATATCTTGTACAAGAACGGAATGATCCTTCGGAGTTAAAACCAAGGCTTTCATCGTGATATCAGGAGTCAAACTTAAGGCTCAGTCTCGGGATCATGGGGATGTGAACATTGAGGGAAGTGTATTCAGAGCTTCTCCTACTTCGAGAATAAAGAGAACCTATATATGACTAGTAACTACGGGTGTACTTGGGGAGAAAAGAAAGCTAAAGCACACCTTCGAGTAACCTGACTTTCGAATTTGATCTATTGATGTCGCGAAAACGAGAAAGTCCGGGGAGTCTGCATTGTTATTATGTGTAAACCCCGGCCTGCAAGCTGACATGGACTTAAGCGGACTGCTCCATGAACTTAAGTCCGACCTTGTTTCCCGCACGCATAGTTAGAGTCGGGCCTTGTCTAAGTCAGTAACTTCGAAGCTGAAAGAAGGCCTAAGTGTTTTTACTTTTGAAAACCGTGAAAGATTAATCAGGACGTCACTGTTTAATCACGTGCAGGTAAACAGCAACTTCAGGACTGAACATGCGATCTTCAACGAGGTAGCCCGCTGCCTCCACCAGCCATGTTTGGCAGTCCTCGAGGGTAACCTTTTTGCCAGACGTACCCTTGACATCTCTGCTAGTAAAGAATTTTGAAGATATCACAGAAAGAAATGTTTGCAAAATCGCATCCCGCACGACCTACCTGGAAGGCAATCGTACCAGTATGAAATGGTTTATCTACAGAAACCCTGGCCGTTGGGAGAAGTTGAAGGAAAGCCTCACCTTGTCTGCGACTGCATTCAGAGTCCTCCCCGGAGCTTTCGGCTTGTATGCACAGGCCTCGAAACCGCAAACAGGCCTCTCATCTATCTTTTCCACTCCCCAGTTGAGCATCACTTCTTCGTCAAAGTGCTGAGCATCAACCCACTGCAGCGGAACTCTTTTTGTAGGAATATCTAAAGTATTTGTGAGGTCGTGACTGCGTTTGACTTCGAACTTGAAGCCATTACGCACATCACCGGTCGCATGAATCCTGACACCGATATCAACTTCGGTGTGGGAGCGTACATAGTACGCCCAGTGATCCTTGAATGGTGAGCCATTATAAATCAGTAATCGACCAAGAAAGCTCCAGAAGACCCTCTCGACGGTACGGCTGGCGGCGGTGGGGCTGGAGGCCGAATCGGAGCCCTCTCGATGAGCAGCCGGGGCGGAGGTGGCGGAACACCGCCGGTATGAGAGCAAGACATCCTGGGATGATTGGCGATGTTTTTGGAGTGTTTGTTGGTAATAGTCTGCAAAGCAGCTGATTTGAGACTTGAAGATGAGAGTTCTTGATCCTGTTGGACACCTTTACGCACAGTCAGGCAACAGCAGCAAGCGCTACGGGCCCCAACAAATTTTCTCAAAATTACTTTGTTGCCTGAAAATCGCTGGAGACACGCTATTCCATTTGCTCAGTGAATTCGCCTTGTAAGTGCAGTTGTTGGAATATTGATGTCGGAAAAGGGGATCCGGAAGGTGGTCGGGCCGTTGCAAACGGCCCTTCCACCTACATGCCTACTCCCAACGGAGGAATCGTGGGCTCTGCCCACCAACTTCCGCCTTCTCTATACCAATACGTAGTTATATATACGATTATTCAGCCTTGTACTCGCCGAAAGGCTTGTTCCGCCGACGTGCATACCAACAGTAGTCTTCATCGTCATGGCAGGATTTCATAGTAGCTGAAAATTGGTTAACGGGTGGAATACGAAGATGAGCAAGAAGCTTTCAGTTGTTAAAAATCCGGGAAATAGGCTGTGTTGTGAAGACCACTCGTTTTGGATCTGCGGCTCATCCATCTGCGGCTCTTGCTGAAACAATATGTCTGCAAGGCGCTCTTCTATCCATTTCTTGGCCGCCTGGTGGCAGCCTAAGATCTGCTTTCTCAGATTCTCAATCGAGAACTCGCTTTCATTGAAATCAAATGAGCAGATTTAGTAACCTCACTAGTTTTGCAGAGCAGGTTGTCACATCAAAGAATTATTTGCGAACTTTGGGTTCAAGATATTGGGTCTATGAATCTACTAATTTGGTTGAGGATATCCAAAACAACGCTCGCTATATAAAACATGACACATTAAGATGTTGATATGATTTTCCCATGAAACATGAAACTGTAATAGTTGAGGCCGTCAACTTATTGGGCCGCCGTCTCCTTTCCCTTAGACTCCTTCTTGGGCTTGGACGAGCCGGAGTTCCACTTCTTGACACGGACGAGGTAGTAAGAAATCACAGCAATGAAGATGTTGAAGAAAATGAAAGCCCAGACGATACCGAAGTTGCGCCAGCGCTCATTATAGAAGATGTTGCTGCCGGCCAAGTACTGATCGGCATTGCTGAGAGAGCAGTACCGGCAAGCTTCAGTGGCATCGGGGTTCTGTAGCTGGCCAGGGGCGAGCTTGAGGTAGTCTGCCAGGTACTCGCCGCACGTCTGGTTGGCAGGCGGGTTGAAGACAGATGTCTCGGTGGCGGAGCAAGTGACAGGTCGACCTGACAGTTGGGTACCGACGATGCCGGCGACCCAGTAGGTGAAGGGGGACACGCGGTACATAAAGATCCAGAAGCCGGGGAGGGCAGTGGGTGACTGCAAGACACCGCAGAAGGTCAAACTCATGAGGACCAGGAGAGTGACAACACCTGAGGCGGTCTGGGCGTCGGGGAAGGCGGCAATGGTCATGTGGGCGAAGGAGGATGCGTAAATCAGGAGCTGGATAGCGTAAAGCATGACCAAAACCTGGCGAACAGAGCCCTGAATGCCGATGATGGGATAGTAGAAGCAAGCCCAGATGAGGATACCTGTGACGATCTGGTAGGGGATTTCGACGATGATGTTGGCGAACATGAATGCCTTCCAGGAGTAGGCCTTGCTGGGGCGTTCGCGGACCTCGTAGAGGGCGCGCTGTGTGACGAAGTGAGGCTGGATCTGCTGGACAAGGACGGAGAAGATGGTGATGACCATGAAGACACCGAAGACAACGTTTTGCATACCGGCCATAGTACCATCGGCCTTCCAGAAGGAGAAACCAATGAAGAGACCCGCAGCGATACCAAGGAAGAACTTGGCGAAGACGTAGTTGGGCATGCGCCAGTACTGCTGGAAAACACGACCGGTAACTTCCATGAGTTGGGTGCTGAAGGGCATGGCGAACTCAGAGTGGGCACCAGCATCTTCGCTGCCAGCGACCTCCTCATGCTGCTTCTCGAGGTGAATTCTCTCGATCTCGGCCTCAACACCGTGGCGTTCGTTGCTAGACTTCCAGACGCTGTGCCAATCTTCGCCCCGGGAGTTGGTTCCGTTATTGACAATCTCGAGCATGTACTCAGCGGGGTTCTCCTCGTCACCGCATCTGCGAGCGCCGTGGCCCTCGAAATAGTTGAGAAGGGTGCGGGAGTTGTCGCCGATATCACCAAAGTAGACAGTCTTACCGCCGCGGGCGAGGAAGAGCAGGCGGTCGAATTGCTGGAAGAGGATGGCGCTGGGCTGATGGACGGTGCAGAGGACGGCTTGACCGGCATCGGCCAGCTTGCGGAGGAAAGCGCAAATGGCCCAGGAGCTCTGAGAGTCGAGACCACTAGTAGGCTCATCAAGGAAGAGAAGAAGCTTAGGCTTAGCTGCCAATTCGACACCGATAGTAAGAAGCTTGCGCTGTTCAACATTCAAGCCCTCGCCGGGAACACCGACGACGGCATCGGCAAAGTCGCGCATGTTGAGCATGTCAATAACCTCCTCGACGAAAGCGAACTTCTCCTCCTTGGAAACAGTCTTGGGCTGGCGGAGCATGGCGCTGAAGCGCAAGCTCTCGCGGACGGTAGCGGTAGCCAAGTGAAGATCTGGCCAAAGTTAGCTGATTGATCAAATGTTGTTGATAAAGAGGATCTGCTTACCTTGCTGCTGAACATAACCAGTCTTGCGTTGGAAACTGGCGTCAAGGGGCTTACCGTTGACAAACATGTCGCCAGTGATGACACCCATAGTAGTTCGTTGAGCCAAGACATCGAGAAGAGTCGTCTTTCCGGCGCCGGAGACACCCATGAGGGCAGTGAGAGTTCCAGGCTTCACCCAGCCATCGACGTGTTCAAGCAGACGGCGGGGCTCACCCTTGATCTCAATATCGTAGACGACGTCTCTCCAGGTGAATATATCCTTCTGGGGCGGGATTGAGTTGACGTTTGCCTCCGTCTCCTGGTCCTTGGAAATAGCCATCTCCTCATTGGTGACGCTGCGGTTGACGCCATCTTGAAGATGAGCGGGGACGCGGCCACGCTGGAAGACGAGGACCTCAGCGGCGCTGGTGGTTGAGGAGTTGAGTTCAGTAGCGACGAAGTAGATGATCATGAAGAAAAAGAGGAAAGCCAGCAGGATGCCAAAGTTGCGCCAGACGTGAGAGTAGTAGTACTGGTAGTTGGTCTCGATGAAAGCATCGCCGCTAACGGTGCGCTGGCCAGCGACAGAGCCGACAGCCGAGCAGATCCAAGAGTCGCCGATCAGAGGAGTGTATGCGGGGATAATCTCGGAGCAGACGAACTCGCGACCGTGGAACTCGTTGGCAATGAGAATCTCAAAGGCGTAGAAGATGGGGTTGATCCAGCGAATCCAACCGAACCAGT